GCGATGTGTGTTTTAAGGCTAAACAGACAAGAGAAGTATTTTATGACAGTATTAATAAAACAGATGATTGTTTTTCTCTTATTCACTGTGATGTTTGGGGTCCCTATCGTGTTCCTTCCACATGTGGAGCTGTGTATTTCTTAACAATTGTGGATGATTTTTCTCGCTCTGTTTGGACTTATCTAATGCTAGAGAAGTCTGAAGTACGTACGGTACTTACGAACTTCCTTACCTATGCCGAGAAGCAATTTGGTAAGAGTGTGAAAACGGTTCGCAGTGAAAATGGAACCGAATTCATGTGTCTATCTTCTCTTTTCCGTGAACGAGGTATCATTCACCAAACATCCTGTGTGGCCACTCCTCAACAAAATGGGCGAGTAGAGCGCAAGCATAGGCATATTCTCAATGTGGCTCGAGCCTTGTTGTTTCAAGCGAGTCTGCCAGTTAAGTTTTGGGGGGAAGCAGTTTTGACCTCTGCGTATTTGATTAATCGCACACCCACGAATCTTCATCAGGGACGATCTCCGTATGAGCTGTTGCATGGGACTAAACCAGACTATGGTCATCTTTATGTGTTCGGTTCCGCGTGCTACACACATAGAGCTTCACGTGACAAAGACAAATTTGGTCCTCGCAGCCGCTCTTGTGTATTTTTGGGTTATCCGTTTGGTAAAAAGGGCTGGAAGGTATATGACATTGACAATGAGGAGTTCATCATATCTCGTGATGTTGTGTTCCGTGAGGATATATTTCCATTTGCAAAGTCTCTTCCCTCCACTACTCAACCATCATCACAAGTCCTTCCTGTTGACGATGATTGGGAGGTCTTGGTTACGCCTTCCATACCAAGGGGGAGTTCGTCCTTACCTGTTCCAACACAGCTCCTGCCATCACAGTCATCTTCAGAAAATACACAACACTCTGCTTCTGATCATGTTGCAGACGGACAAGCTTCTTCACCTCATGAAACCAGTTCTCCTTCTCCGGTAATTCCTGATTTGTGACAACCAGAGTCGTCAACCTCAGCACCAGATATGGAACAGACTGAGCATCTAGGACGTGGACAACGCCAACATGTTCCTTCTGTTCGTCTTAATGACTACGTTCTCTACAGCGCCACAGCTGAAAATACCCATCATGCTCCACGCTCTTCACCATCAAAGTCTTCGCAACCGGTCCTAGGTAATTTGCAATTTCCCTTGTCTCAGTTTATATCTCATGATGATTTCTCTCCAGGACATCGAGCATATATGGCTGCAATATCAGCTGGTGTTGAGCCAAAACATTTTAAAGAAGCCGTCGGTCAGAAAGTTTGGGATGATGCAATGTATGTTGAAGTTGATGCTTTGGAAGAACTACACACGTGGGACATAACGGATCTTCCCCCTGGCAAGGAAGCTATTGATAGCCAGTGGGTATACAAGATCAAATATAACCCCGATGGAAGTATCAGCCGCTATAAAGCACGGGTTGTAGGTAATGGACGCAAGCAAGTTGCTGGCAAGGATTATAATGAAACTTTTGCTCCGGTGGTTAAAATGACTACTGTAAGGTCCTTGCTTCGCATCGCTGCAGCAAAGAAGTGGGAGGTTTATCAAATGGATGTTAACAATGCCTTTTTACATGGCAACTTGGAGGAAGAAGTTTATATGAAATTGCCTCCTGGTTTTCGTCATACTCATCCAGGAAAGGTGTGTCGTCTCAAGAAGTCTATATATGGACTTAAACAGGCTCCCAGATGTTGGTTTAAAAAGCTCTCGGATGCTCTGTTCAAATTTGGTTTTACTCAGGCTTATGACGATTACTCTTTGTTCTCCTACACGAAGAAGGGTTTGGAGATTCGTGTTTTAATTTATGTTGATGATCTTTTGATATGTGGTAATGATGCATATATGATTCAGAAGTTCAAAGACTATCTTGGACGCTGTTTCTCGATGAAAGATCTAGGCAAGTTGCGTTACTTCTTGGGGATCGAAGTTGGTCGTGGACCAGATGGCCTTTTCCTTTGCCAGCGCAAATATGCTCAAGACATTGTCTCAGAAACTGAAAATTTGAGTGCAGCATTAGCTTTGACGCCTCTTGAACAAAATCATCAGCTTGCTACAGTGGATAGTCCAGCGTTTACTGATCCTCAGAAGTATTGACGTCTTGTGGGTAGATTGATATATCTTACTCACACTCGACCTGAGCTCAGCTATGCAGTCCATATTTTGACACAGTTCATGAAGCGTCCGAAACAAGCACACTGGGATGCTGCTACTCGTGTTGTTCGGTTCTTGCGTGATACTTCTGGTTATGGTATCTTCCTGTCATCTGCTCCGGATCTCACCCTTACTGTTTATTGTGATTCTGATTGGTCATCATGTCCAATTACACGCCGGTCTCTGAGTGCTTTTGTTGTCATGCTTGGAGGCTCACCTATATCATGGAAAACTAAGAAGCAACGGACAGTGTCACATTCCTCTGCAGAAGCAGAATATCGATCAATGGCTACTGCACTAAGGGAAATCAAATGGCTTCGTAAACTCTTGACAGAATTGGGGGTCAAACAGCTACAGCCTACTCGTTTCTTTTGTGACAGTCAAGCAACTATTTACATTGCGGCAAATCCTGTGTTTCATGAGCGCACGAAGCATATCGAAAATGATTGTCATTCGGTTCGGGATGCAGTTCGAGATGGTATTATAGCAACTCATCATATCACCACAGATACACAGATTGCTGATATCTTAACAAAGGCTTTGGGCAGGGCGCAGTTTCAGACATTAGTTTCCAAGTTGGGTGTCACTCCTTTAGACTCTCCAACTTGAGGGGGAGTATTGTGGGTAGTTATCTTATTAGATATGATAAACATTTGGTTTATTAGATATACTAGAATCTTGGTGTAAATCTCCTGGAATGTAGGAGATAAGGTTCTATTGATCGTTGTATAAATATGAGTTGCCTATGAGCATAATAGACAAGCAAGTTTGATAACCAATTCTACACAACAACAACAAATTTGAAGGTACAATCGTTGTCTCACTGAACTCCAAACGTGTCTCTTGCGTCTTCTATTTTGCCTCAATATTAGAAACGATGCATTAACCATTTCGTTGATATATTTTGCGTCTAATGCTCTAGAGTGTAGAATGATGCTCTGCTTGTTCAAAAATCACGAATAGTCAAATATTAAATATCTGAATCAGTTTTTAGCCAAGCAGACGGAAAGTATAAGCGATCCCATCTGCTGGAATTAAAATGCTATATAAAACGGCGATTCTATAAATCGTAGGTTCTTATTGACATACGTATGAAATAATTTTACTTCCATATATAACGTGGGTGACGTATTGGTAACAGTCACTAGATACGAAAAAGGATCTCCAATAAGTGTCAAATTCAAAGTCTACATCACCTTCTTAAATTACATTCACACAACTCGGTTACGACTCTTTATTACTAAATTAGGTTAGTAATTATTTATGTAACCAATTTCTATAATTGAATTACTCCAAATGGCTCGTTACAACTTACAACTGTACTCCCAGTTTGTAAATATTTCTTCTTGTGATAAATCAAAATGACGTTGAAGGAGGAGGTCGTCCACGGGTAGAGGGACATGTTCTCACATAGAAACATCTAATAAAATGTTATCTTTGCCAAATTTACCATCTATTAAACTAATATGACCGATTATTTTTCCTTATAATCACACTTTTGAATCGTTCCAGGCCTAATCTCCCATGTAACATGGTTTGACAAAGGAAAATAATGCATTCTATAAATTTCCTTTGTAGCCAGACAAGATAAACATAACAGTCCACATCTTTCCCGTTGGAAGACAACATCCTTCATCGTGCCATTTATTTTAAACTGATAGTTGTTGCTTCCTTATCTCGTTCTCTTCTTTGCAAGTTAAACTAGAAATTGTTTGGGATGGATCATGTTCCTATACTATCTTCTTTTGTCACATATACATGGTTAGCTAAACAAATGATCAATTTTCATTAATTTAAAAGTCAGCCACGTAGGTGCTTAAGCGCTCGCCTAGCAGCTTAGACACATAAGACCATGTGCATCCTTAGCGCTTAGGGAGAGTTTCAGAGGAGGGGGTCCACCAAAAAGCAAAAAACCAGCGCTTGTGACTCTCCTATAAGCGTTGAATTCTGGCTGATTCTTGGTCTGTTCCGCGGGCCCCACGACACATGGCAGCCCGCGATTAGTCCTTATTATAATTTTTTTTTTTTCAGTCTGAGAAAAAAAATAAAAAGAGAAAAAGAAAAAAATTAAGCACCCCTGGGATACACATGCTCTAAGCAGTCAGAACTGGAATTTGAACAGAAAATATGTTTATATTTAATATCACTATTTTATAATACAATAAATACAAATTACCATCATGTTTTAAATTTAAATGAACAAAATATATTAAAAGATACACAGAACAGAATTCTCCAATCAATCTGTAATCTATTGCTATGCGTTAAATGGGCACCTCAGTGTTTTATACAATTTTAAACACATCAACTCATCAGCTAGCTAGTTGTCACCATATCGATCACTTACTTTTGCTACGATTCAGAGATAATTATTGGTGATATAACTATATGATAAGAAATATAAATGAGTAAATAGTATTTTTGGGTAGCTAACCGATTTTCAACTAACTTCACCAACCTACAACACAATACAATACAGTCCATTAATTTCTCTTAAATATTATTGAGTCTTTATTTTTATTTTTATATTTTTTATATAAAGGATTTATTGAGTCGTTATTTTCTAATTTTTCTTTCAGTAGAGATCTGAATATAAAATCAATATTCAGTTTTTGGCTGTGGTAACTTTTAGAAACAGAAAGACAAAACATTTTTAATCTAAAGGATGAAAAGTGATCATTTTTAGATTATAAGTTCTTACTTTTCTGTAAACCTTGAAAGCAATAAACCAATAAACTTGAGTTTCACAACATTTTCCAACTCAAATTTATGTTTTCATTCAAAACATTGGGTCTTAGTTGGGCCGATTTCAAAAGCCCAATACGGGTTTCCTGATTTACCAATCTGTCGAGAAGACGATCTTGGCTCACCATTGAACATAAGACACGTGGCATATTTGAACTGGTAACCAACAAAGTCATCCAACAAAATATGTGTGGCTCGTTGCACTCCACTACACTTAGAGCAACCTTTTGCTTTCAGATTTTCCTCGAGCCATGGAAGCGAATTCCATCAAACTCCATGGAACTCCCTCCATCGTCACCGCCTCTAGTACATCACGACGTCACAGATCATCTATTCTCTCGCTTCATTACCGGAACACACGCTTTTCTCCGTTCTCGCTCACTGTCACAAGATGTTCCACCACCAAAAGCAACGAAACAGGTCAAGATTCGAGGTTAGAGCCATCTTCGAAGAAAGGACTGGTTCTTGACCTAGGTACTGATTCGTGGGACAGCGAGGAGATTGGATCTCCGGTTGTGAAGAGATTTCTAAGCGACAACGAAGAGAGATGGTACATGTGGTACCATGGAACCTCTTCCTCTAAGCAGAACCATGTTTCAGATTCTGTCGGATTAGCTGTTTCAAACAATGGGATTCACTGGGAGAGAGGGAAAGGGAGAGTTGAGTCAACAGACGATGTGGGTTTGGTTATGGGCTCATGTGAAGACTGGTGGGCTTTTGATAAGGCCAATGTTCGGCCCGGTGAAGTTGTGATAATGTCGAGTTCTAAAGTCAGAGCTGATAGCTCTGTTTACTGGATGTATTACACAGGTTACACTACTGAGACTGTTGAGTTTCAGTCCCATTTGGGTAATCCAGAAAGGTTTCACCTTTGTAATGAGAAAGGTAGCGTTTTTAGGTCACTCCCCGGGTTAGCGATTAGTCAAGACGGTAGGCATTGGGCTAGAATCGAAGGTGAGCATCATAGTGGTGCGTTGTTCGATGTTGGGTCTGAAAAAGATTGGGACTTTCTATATATAGCATCACCACATGTAGTGTTCCATGAGAGTGGGGATCTAAGGATGTATTACCATTCTTTCGACGCGAAAACCGGTGAGTTTTGCATTGGGATGGCGAGATCTAGGGAAGGGATCAAGTGGGTGAAGTTTGGTAAGATCTTAGGAGGAAGAAAATCTGAAAAAGATGGATTAGGTTACTTCGACGAGATGGGAGTAAGATATCCTTGCGTGACAAGGAACAAGAGAGATGGGAGTTATGTGATGGCTTATGAAGGTGTAGATAGAAACGGGAAGGTGAGCATTGGCTTGGCGGTTTCAGAAGATGGGATTAAGGATTGGAAACGGGTCCAGGACGAGGAAGCGGTGCTTGTGGTTGGTGAAGGTGGTGCGTGGGATGAGGAAGGAGTTGGGTGTCCTTATTTGGTTGAGATGGATGGAGACTCTGATCATCAGTGGAGGTTGTATTATAGAGGTGTTGGTAATGGTGGAAGAACAGGGATTGGTCTAGCTGTTTCTGAGGGAAGTGAGGTCATTAAGTTTACAAAACAGACAGGGATTTCCTTGTGAGACATGTTTTTTTGTTTCCCTTTGAATTGGTAATGAAACAATATGATTAAATCATTTGTCCTAAACTAAAAAGATGCTAAATCTCTTACAGGTTAGTTAATTGTTAAATAGTTAGATGACTAATAACTCATCTGATTCTGAGCGATTTACTTTATAAAAAAAGACAGAAACTGAGATGTAATTGTTAAAGATGTTCGTGACCGTTACAGCAGCATGTGGGGACAATAAAACAATAGTGTAAAAATAAAAAAGATACAAAATCCGACCGTTACAAAACCCTAACATTTAAATGTTTCCGAAGGAGACACAATATGATTCTGCAAATCAAGGCCAAAGCAAAAAACTTTCTTTTATTAAATTTGATTGATTAATTTTCAAGAAATCAACACATGGAGGGAGAGCAATTTGAGCAACAAGAAGATCCACAAGGATCACCGGAGCTGTTGCAGAGCCTCAGATCCAAAGCAACGGAGCTTCTTCTCCGGGAAGAGTGGGAAGAGTCTATCCACCTTTACACAAAGTTCATCGATCTCTCCCAAAGCCAAATCACAAAGCTTTCCGGATCCGACCGGGAATCAATTCCCAAGCTCAAGAAATCACTCTGCTTGGCTCTATGCAACCGAGCTGAAGCCAGAGCAAGGCTTCACGACTCCTCGGAAGCAATACGGGATTGTGATCAAGCGCTCGAGCTCGAAAACACACATTCCAAGACTCTTCTTTGTAAAGGTAAAGTCTTGCTAGGGTTGAGCAAATACTCATCGGCCTTGGAGTGTTTTAAAACGGCTCTGTTAGACCCACAAGCTAGTGAGAGTGTAACTGTGTACATGGAGAAGTGCAAGAAGCTCGAGTTTCAGGCAAAGACTGGAGCTTTCGATCTCTCTGATTGGATCCTAAGTGGGTTTCGTGGGAAAACTCCGGAGCTTGCTGAGTTCATTGGGTGGGTTGAGATTAAGAAGTCTGAGGTTAGTGGGCGTGGATTGTTTGCAACGAAGAACATTGTTGTAGGAACTTTGATCTTTGTCACTAAGGGAGTTGCTACTGAGAGAGGGATCTTAGGAAGTGAGGAGTCTGGTGAAAAAGCGCAGATGATTATGTGGAAGAACTTTGTGGAAGAAGTTACTAAATCTGTGAGGAGATGTGACAGAACAAGAAGACTTGTCTCGAGTTTATCTACTGGAGAAGAGGAAGATAGCCTGGAGATTCCAGATATATCTCTCTTTAGGCCTGAAGCATTTGAAACATATGATGGCTTGAAACAGGATTTGGATATGGAGAAGCTGCTAAGCATTCTTGATGTGAATTCTCTGGTGGAAGATGCGGTTTCAGCTAAAGTTATAGGGAAGAACAAAGAGTATTACGGTGTAGGGCTATGGACACTAGCTTCATTCATGAACCACTCGTGTGTCCCAAACGCAAGACGCCTTCACGTTGGAGACTACGCCATTGTTCATGCCTCGAGAGATATCAAGGCTGGGGAAGAGATCACGTCTGCTTACTTCGAAGTGCTTTCTTCTCCGCTGGAGAAGCGGAAAGAGATGGCTGAGTCATGGGGGTTTAGTTGTAAATGCAGTAGATGCAAGTTTGAGAGTGTCTTGTCTGCTACCAATCAAGAGATTAGAGAGCTTGAGATGGGTTTAGAGAGAGGCGTAGACGCAGGAAACGCGGTTTATATGGTGGAGGAAGGGATGAAGAGATGGAAAGTGAAAGGGAAGGATAAAGGTTTGCTGAGAGCATCTTATTGGGGAGTTTATGAAGAGGTTTATAACTCAGAGAGGCTTATGAGGAGATGGGGTAGGAAGGTTCCATCAATGGAAGTTGTAGTTGACAGTGTCGCTGATGTCATTGGAAGTGATGAGAGGTTGTTGAAGATGGTGGTGGAAGGGATGAAGAAGAAGAAGAATGGAGGTGGTAGTAGTAACATTGCAGAGATGGAGAAAGTCTTGAAGCTAGGAAAGGGTGTTTATGGGAAAGTGGTATCCAAAAAGAAGGCAATGAAGACTCTTCTTGGCCTAGAGTGACAACTGCAAACAAATCTTTTGTAACTGGTTGTAGGATACTTTACTTTCATGTAATTCCTTGCCTCATGGAAGAAAGAAATCACCCAATGATATTATTTTATAAAGATAGTCAAATGGAAATAACACTTGTTTGTTGAATAATCTTTTGTAGACAATGTATGTCTTGGTTCTAACCATATGGTAAGATAAATTGGATGAGAAGTTGCATAAAGAAGAAAGGATGATGGAGAGTTTATTCGTCAATCCAATGATCCTGACTAGCATTTCCTCCAGGTTTGTCCTGGAGCAACACCTCCTTCTGCTGTTTCAACTGGTTAACAAGCCTGCGGACACTAGGAGGATCCGTAGGGGGTTTCTTCTCTTGAATTTGCATCTCTTTTTTGGAACTAAGATAGGGTTTAGGAGGAGGAGTCTTGTCTTGTAGTACCGCAAGCTCCTTTAGGCGTTTGTAAGCTTTCTTCTTTTCCTTTCTCTCTGCAAGATACTCCATCTGAAAAAACACATCAAAATATATATATCAGCATCCTCAGTAGCAGTATTGCAATTGAGTAACAAAACTATAGACTGTGAAAAGAAAAGAGAGTACATTAGCTACAGACATGGCGTCATCCTCGCTGATGCCGTTCTTGGTCAGTTCAAGGACACGGCAACCATATACGCGAGCTGGATCTGGAATAAACGCCGAAACCCTGTATGGCGAAGCATAGTATAAAGCAATAATAAAAGAGATAAATCCAGAAAAGACACAAGAGAGTCACATGGGGAGAGTACTACTAGTTCAGAACATAAGAGACAAACTCATAAGGCATTGATCAAAACCATGATTGGTACACAGATGCAAATACATAAAGATGAAGACTTTTACTTGGTGGATTCGACGAGTTTAGCTTCAGGATGCTTGCGGGAGAATCTACGAACGTAGGAATCTTCAGGGAGAACAATCTTCTTGAGTTTCCCATTAGAGCGAGGAAAGACAGGAGGTGGTGATCTGCCATTCAACAACCATCACAGTTAGAAATTAAAACCTAAAAATCTAAACTTTTTATGGAATTGAAACAGTATGAATCAATGAGGAAGTATCTAAATTGAGAGAGAGAGAGGTACGCTTCCATGGCTTTAAGCCAAACAGGCTCTCGCATAGCAAGTCCACCAACAAGCCTCCTGCTTTTCGAAAGTAAATCTCCTTTCATCCACGACATGGTCTCTCGCTTCTCTTCACTTTGCTTTGATGATCTCTGTAATATTTTTATCCCGACGACGACGACTAGCCACGGCGAGGGTTTAGAAAATGACTCTTCTCGGTTTAAAACCTCACGGTTATAAATCAAACCGGGTACATCACCTTAATTTCAGTTTAAAATCGGTTATCTAGACCAAAAGAGCCAACTATCACGGTTCGTTTCGGTTCAATTAAAGAAAACGTCGTCGTTTAACTTTCATTTAACCTTTCATAAATCTTGTCGAGTCTCCACTTCCGTCAGCTTTTAGACAGAAACTGAATCATCATCAATGGCGTTGAGACTGACATCGCTAAAACGCATCTTCGAAACCCGAAGCTTCAGCCACGTCGCAGCAGCGCCTCCACCTTTGAACAACGTCATCATCGATCGACCCATCGTTACGCCGCCGCTGATTTCACCCGAGTTCGATCAGAATCAGAATCAACCTGGATCGATCGATGAGAAGAGCTTCGGATTTGGGTTTCCTAGTTTTTCGTTCAGTGGATCCATGGACCTAATGGCTGTGCCCAAGAAGAAGGTTGGTCTCTAATCATTTGAGTTTCTCCCTTTCGTTTTGTGATGCTAAAGATTGAAACTTTCTTAGGGTTTTGAGTTTTTGTGATTAGCTACTTTCAGGGTTTCTCTAGGGTTTTAGGGAGGCGACTTTTTTTTTTTTAATTTTTTTTTTGAACACAGGGAGGCGACTTATTAGATACTTGTTTTCTGGTCAAAGTTTTGAAATTTAAGATACAGAATGTTAGTTGGTTCCTTTAGGTTCACATGTAGTTTGCATCCTCTAGGGAGTTTGTTTACCACTTACTTAGTATCAAATGAAGATGTGTATTTTTGTAATGGCCTTGTCCTCTTGGGAGAGTGATATATTGGTTAATTGGAGCTTTTCTTCATGAAACATATGCAGGTTTCTAAACATAAGAGAGGGATAAGAAATGGGCCAAAGGCTCTTAAGCCTATTCCTCTCATCATCCGTTGCAGGTAAGAGATTGCTTTATCTGTTTGATGGTTCTTAATGTATCCGTAGGTTTGAGATTTAGTTTTGAGGTTGTGAAGGATTTAATGTCAAGTAGAAAGATAATGAGCTTTTATGGAAGACCTTGGTGTTGGTGTGTTACTGTGTTTGTCACCCTGCAGCATGAACTGACTTGTTTGACCTTAGATATTCTTGATTTCCTTCTTTCTGATCAGAATTTTATGTATATATTAAAAACACACTCTCTCGTGTTTGCAGGAGTTGTGGGCGAGTCAAGCTGCCACATTTCTTCTGTTGCAGCGGTGAGCGGGTAAACCCCAATGAGCAAGGCCACTAGAACTGCTGACCAGGATCTCCTATATGAGATTACTCCTTGTTGGATATCCATAGGGGGTAAATCTTGGGTTTCTTAGTCGTAGACTTGAGTGATACTATAGACTTAGTTGATGCTGTCTTTTGTCAAATTATTTGGGTTTCAGCTGCAAGATTAATATGCTATGTTTTTTTTTGTAACAAGTTATGTTATTGTCATTGCTTGGTGCAAAGTCTAGACTAACACATATATTTTTAAATAAAGAGAAACATTATCATGAAACCACCAGTGCCATTCCTTTGGCCCCGGTTCTGCATCCAAATATGCGCGTGAGTGATTTGATTGATCAAACAACGAAGTGCTGGGATGATAAGAGACTTCACGATTATGTGGCGGCAGCAGATATTCCATTCATTAAAAGTATGGCCATTAGTTCAACACATCGTCGGGACAAGTACTGTTGGAGCTATACGAAGACTGGACAGTATACAGTCAAATCTGGTTATTGGGTAGCGCGAAATATTTTGTGGAAGAAAGAAGAACCTGAAGTATGTGAGCCCAGTATCACAAAGCTCCAAGCACATGCTTGGAAGGTCAGGGCTCCTCAAAAGATTTGTCATCTTATGTGGCAATTGATTACGGGACATGTAGCTGTCACGAGCATTCTAAACTACAGACATATGAGATGTGACAATCATTATCCTCGATGTGGGGAACCTGAGGAGACGATCAATCATGCAATATTTGAATGCCCTCCTGCAGTACAAGTTTGGGCACTATCATCTACGCCAACCAATCCTGATTTGTTTCCAGGAATGAGCGCGTATGCAAATATGGATTATCTTTTCTGGAGGAAGAATGTGATAATGGAATCGGAATTGGACAGGGATCCTTATCCTTGGCTAATCTGGTACATCTGGAAGGCTAGAAATGATAAACTTTTCCGAGGCATTGATAGGGATCCCTTGGAGCTAGCGCGCTATGCAGAGAGTGAATGTCAAGCTTGGTTCGAAGCCTCATGCCTGGCCTAACTTCTCAACTGAGCTGGAGAGATTGGAGACGCTGAAGATCTGCTTCCCTGATTTCAAGATCTTTTATGTTCCTAGATTACAGAACAGTGTTTCTGACTCTTTAGCTAAGACAGCTAGGGCCTTTTACCGTAAGCTTGTTTTCGTTGGTTGTTCTATTCCGGTCTGGATTCCCAGACCACCTCATGTTGCTTGAGTAATAGATCAGCCGTTTGATGTCAAAAAAAAAAAAAAAATGAAACCACCAGTGCAAGGTTTAGAGGCTCTCTCTCTTCTGTGATCGGAGGCTCCTAATTTCTTACAATGTTATTTCAGCGTAATTTTTTTATTACTTTGGATACTCCAATAACTCTCAGATTGTGATCACAGTTTTTTGTAGTAACATATATATATTTTTTTTTTTTTTTTTTTTTTTTTTTTTTTTTTTTTTTTTTTTTTTGGTCAAAACATATATTATAATTATTTTTTTTACTAACCCGTACGTATATGGACTAATCTTGGTGAGAAGTTTGATTTCTGATTTTCTCAAAATGTTACAGCAGAGAGCGAAACAATAACCCTAGGTAAGTTTGTTATATACTAAGCATCTAATGATAAATATCCTTACAAACACTCCTAACAGTACCACTATTAAAGCCATGAGTAGATCCAATCCAAGAACTAACTATCTCTACTGTGACTCTTCGTTGTAATTGAATGGTAACGGAACCGATTTGAATGCTCTGAACTTCCCCACATTGTTCAAATGCTTGTTCTCTAACCTGTGTTCCCAAACAAAGCCAAAATAGTATAAGTAAAAGAAATGGTTTCTGAGAGCATTTTTCGATAGTTTTTTGGCCAAGACGCAACCTGGAGAAATTCCAGATACCATGACGTATGGTTGTGTGGATTTGGATGTGTGGTGAGGTTTGTAACTCATTTTATCTTACCCGTATTTTATTTTGTTGCCAATGTCATGCTCTATATTTTGACTAAATGCGTAGCCTCTGCAGAAGCGTTCTTAACTTTTTCCTTTATATAAATATGTTAAAGTGTTACCGTGTTGGTACATGTTTTGGTATGATCTTTGATTTTCCAAGATTCGTATTGTAATATGTTTAAGGTTGTCGTTTTGTTTTGTGAATCATTTTCGTTGCTATAGTAGAATGATATATTGTAATACATCTTTATTTTTGTTAACTCTAATTGGTAATATTTACATTTATACAATCCACAATGATCATGATTTTAGTGTAAAAAAGATTGACATGTGAATAAAAATAAATATAATAGATATATGCTTCCTTGTTGATTATTTTGGAGACTGCATATGTAGATTAGGTATAAGTCATATACATCACCACTTTTTAATACTTTTAAGACATAACATTAACCATTTTAATTACTACATTTTAACAACATTTAAATTAATATGTATTATCTTTGCATACAATATATTTTCTCTTTTTGATACTAGTTCTCAAATTCGGTCTAACATGTCTTTCGCTTATGTATTTTGCCTTTAAAGGTTCATACTTGATATTATTAGTAATGTATTAATTAATCAGTATACATTCTATAAATTCTTAGCCATTGATTTAACATTTTGTTTCTTACAAAACATAAATCAAAAGGTGATTTCTTTGTCAAACAATATTAGAAACTTAAAATAACAATAACAGTTTGGTTGTGTGGATCTTGTGCAATTTTTAAAAGTAATATATATCTATCTATATATATAAAGTTGCATTTCTTCCTTCATGCTCCGTCACGTCATCAAATAAATGACTCTGAGCAAGACATGTGGCATGAGAGGTATATCCGGTGTGTTTCAGTACGTCATGCGTGAAATTCTTTTGGGCTTCTGATAAAAATTAGGCTTCATTTTATCATCTTCGCGTCCAGTCCGTCAATCAATTCATGTTACATGAAACGCAGCATATACATCTAGGGTTTGACAAGTATTCTTCTTCGCCTCTCCGGAGCTGATGGCTTTTGGGCGATCCCAACCGATCGCTCGTCTTCTACAGCACAACACAAAAGAATATTGTTTCCTGAATAATTATCTTAAACCCCTCCATTAATATGCCACCCACAATTTCTATTCATTGCCAGTTCTAGATATGCAAGTCGGTGAAGATTTTACTATAAAAATGTGAGCTTTCCTATTTTCAGAATCATCCCTCATTCGTTCTAAAGTAACCAGTTAATAATTCGGTGAGATATGACTAACGTTTAGGTCCTCCTCTTCGATTTACAGACGGGCCACTCCTCCTCAACTGTTCAAGTCCGTTTTTGGGAGGCCTGGAATGTCAACTGTGGTGGAGAGCTCATGGGAGTCGATATGCTCCTACTAGATTTTCAGGTCTCTGCTTTAACTCCGCCCTTTGTTCATATTACAAAGTTTGTTTTTTTCTAAAAAAAAGTTTATGTTAAACATTTTCCATTGAGACAACTTCCAGAGTTTGATGATTGTTGTGTCTTTTTGACGTATGTTCAGGCGACCATGATGCCGGCCACCGTGAATGTCAACCGGCTTGCGGCCTACATGCCTAATCTGAAAGCAGGATAGGTTTTTTCCCTAACCGAGTTTTAGCGACTCAACCTCTTTTAATGAGGTCACTGAACCAGCTGTCCCGATACCTCTTGAATCATTCCGGTTCCACAATCACTGTGAAATTCTTGCTCTTGCCAGCACCAACGATCAGCTTCCAGGTCATGTTACTCTTATCTCTTCTTCTGACAACCAGATTAGTTATATAATAGATCTGTCGATATATAATAGATTTTCTTTCGACATACATTATTGGTGTAATAACTGTTTCAAGTACCGTCACTGACCCTCCTCAAGACAAGAACCATGTAATGGCAACTATTAAAATGGACAAGTAAATTATTAACTGCTCGATTGTTAGAGCCTAATAACTACGTTTTGCTCACTGCTCTGTCTTTTTCTGCTAACAATGACATGTCTGTGACTTTTAGTGTCTTCCACTCTCAGGCTGTTAAGATCCACAACCAACTAGAGAGGATGCGAGGTGATCCAAGGGTTTTGGTTGCAACCAGTGTCAACCCCAAGATGGTGGGAGTTAAGCAATTTAACTGAAACTTACATGGCCAGCCGTTAAATGCTGGTCATACCATTTACCCCCTATTCATCATGCATGTCGTCTGTTTTTGAACGCCACTTCCGGCACACACATTTACTTTGATAAGGAAACAACTGCAAGGGAGAGTTTTTTCTACAGGTAATTACTTGAGAGTCATCGACTTTATTCACTATTTCAGTGAGGTTCCAAGTGTATATCACTTGGCCTAACAAATTTATATTCAATTATGCAGGTTGGTCACACCACTGGGCTTACACCGGCAGCTCCACTGCTGAGGGGCTACGCTAAGGTGGAATCACTGAGCACAGCTGAGCTCAATAGTTTTATCATAACTGCTCCCACCAGCTTTAAAATGAGTTACTACCGAATGTATAAGTTTCTATGTGTAATCCTGGCGACGATGACAATGGAGATGACAACCCCAGTGCCATCGCAGTGGCTGCTAAGGTGGAAGCTGGTGTTAGTAGCCAGACTCAGGGTGCATCGGTCAAGGTGAAGAAAGCATGCAATGCATAGGTGAAGAGTATTGAAGTTGAAAATGCAGTGTTAACGCTTTTAATAATACTTAAGTTGTTTTCTCGGTTTTCTTGTTTTTTTTTTTTTGCTTTACCTACCAGTTTGGCTTTAACTCTTGGTTCTTATATATTTAGTTATCGATTATCAATTATAATAACTATCTTATTTCGAATTTTTTTGGCACTATGTGCTTATTGACCATCATCTGGTGAGTCAAGTTTCTGAAATGCTATTAACCAAAGAGAATGAAGTCACTTTCAATATAACTGTGATTTTTGTCGACTTTTATTTTACATTTGACAAAAATAAGCTGCTTCTTTTTAGTGGCTTCCCATACATCTATAGTGTCAAATTTACTTTTATTTAGGGCCTGTAAACTCTTTTTTTAGACGAACATAGCTCAAGCACATGTAAATATGAAGAATGTTGGTTTGCAGATCTGTATAGATGTGGATAATCTAATGTAAATATGATTATGTTTATGAGTTGGGTCCCTTTATATTCGATATTACGCTGTATTAACATTTTATTCAATAGTAACTTTTGGTCCATATCATATCCTAAGATAGAACGTAGACGTCACCATAGAACTTACAGTGTGTCTGCGGATTCGCAATAATTAGAAAAGCCAAACACATGACCCGTATACATATATATGACTTAAAGTATAGCGTCCGACTTAATATCTGATTACAACTGATGTACCTTTGTCCACATACATAAGACGGACGATGCTTACGTTCGTTGTCAATTGGTATACCTCAATGTTCGCCTGCTATGATTTACTGATATTAATCTGCATAATTCCTGCCTTACGATTCATGAAGAATCCACCACTTCAATTGAATCTCCACAAACCGTTGAAACAGTCACTATAGACATAAAGTCTCTTCGTACTGTACCTCATCACATTCTAAATAGGCACAATGTAACCGCCGATTGAATACATCCTGATGACCCCTTACGTAGAACAATAGAGCATCTGACGCCATATCTGTCCTCTTGGATTCCTTCAATGTTTTCATAAAACCTCATGATTCAAAGCAACTAAAACAGTGAGAAGATTATCTTCCAAAAAACTATGGTGAAGGACAAAACTAAATAATCATCTCACGCTCTCGACGTTGCCAATGTCTCAAACAAAGGTTTGTAACTTTGTATAGACTACAAAACTTATAACAAACATCATTTTCAAACTTTGCTACTACAGTCGTCTTAGACTTCTTCTGATATAGTGAGTTTCCAGCTATAAACTTTGAACCAAAACAATTTCAAAACCTCAAAACAATGATATTCCCATACATATAATGCTTCACAGATAGCTCGACGGACACAGATGCTGATACGATCATCAATACCAAGACAGACATCCTCAAGAGGTTAGACAACCAAATAGTATGATAAGAAATTTTGATCTACCCACGGAAAGTCCTGAAAACTTAACTCAACCTATATTAACACAAGCTCATAATTTTTTTACGATCAGCGATGCACCATCGTTACCATATTTGTCTCTTTCCATATGAATGCTCATCCTCTAAGGCTAACGCTGATATGTATCATCGTCCATGACGCTCTGAAAGATACCTCAGCATAGCTGACTCACCACCAAGCATTAATCATGAGGGAAAAATAGACGCATGTACGCTAAAGTTATGTTGATTGACTCAATGGTTTACGTTAGTCAAACTGTTTTAAGAACCACAACATTGCAGGCTCTGCTAAGAAGGCAACATTTATAAGGAAGGTATTTTGCGTACGTAAAAAGGAATTACGACTCACTAAATATTCCGATAAAAAGGTAATGATGGTGCATCGCTGATCGTAAAAAAATTAAAGACATAACATGGAAACAATAGGAGAAACTGAGAAGATGGTGAAATCACTGAAATGGAACGTAGAAATGACACAATGAGGTCGAGACCATTACAACAATAGCAAACGAAAGAGAATCGGTTTAAGATAGTTTTATGAGTAATGAATGCAAACAGCGTTGCTGATCCCATACATGGATATACGACTCTATGACGATGACCCAGCTGATCAACTGAGCAAAAGGTCTTAACTTGTCGAAGCAATGATGAAATGTGTGTTGGTAGTTGGTCTCACCGGTGTTACCGTATGTCTGATATCAACATTGTGGTCTCTCTACGGTCGAGCAGATGGAAGTTTTGGTGGAAGTATGGAGAGATGGCAGTATCTAATTGGTTACTTGGGATCAGAGAGAATAGCTTAAGCTTTTATATGGGATACATGTATGTACACAGTTTTCAGCCATGGTTGATTGGAGAGAACCTGCAAAATGTGAAGAACAACAAGGTTGAGTTAGTGAGTTATCTTAGGTTTGTTCATGTTCTTGGTTTGCTTGCGTATCTTCTGTTTCTCAACCTTGACGAGAAAGATCTTGTTAATTAGTTAGAGAATTGTTACACAATACATGACACATGTTCATAGATTTGTTCATGTTCTTGGTTTGCTTGCATGTCTTATGTTTCTCTATCTTGATGATAAAGCATCTTATTAATTGGATAACGAATTGTAGTATATATATATGTAGTAAGTTTGCCCGCGATATATTGATCAAATTATTCTAAAATCTAAATTAAAATAAACTAATAACAGGCAGTGAAATGTGTAACATAACCAAAAATACATACTATAACAAAATTTAGATATTAAAAATATATACACAAAATCATAAGAATAAAATTTTAAAAGATTCCGTCAACAATATTAAACCAAGGTCATCAAAAAGTGAATTGAACAGTTTTTCAATTATTAAACTCATGTCCTAAACACTAACAAAATATTGAGGAAAACCACAAAAACACACATAATCAAAAGTACATATTTCAAAAAGTAACAATCATATAAGAAGATATAACATTTTTTTTTTAAAAAAAATATTGTCATGATATAAAGAAAATATTAAATTTCTTATTCAAATAAATGTGATTTTAAAAAAAAAAAATGTTACATCATGAATTTCGATAACACAATAACTAAATTCAATACATATATAAAAATAAAAAAACATATACTTGCACAGTCTGAGCTAGGGACGTAATACAAAATAACATAAAAATCTAAGTATAAACTTTAGTTTTTTTTATTATGTCGAACTGAAATAAAATAATAGAAAGATATATAATATTATATTTTCTATTATTTTTGCTAACCTTTTTATTCTCCAAAAAATGAATAATGAAGATTACTGTCACTCTAATTCAAACCAAATAAGTTACTAAAAATAATAATATGATGTAAAAATTCTATTTATTATTTATTTGTTTATAATATCGGTTCCAAACAACTATTTTTTAATAAAAGCATTAAAAACATTATAAACTAATGTAATTTAGTTTTGCCCGTAGGGCGGGCCGACCCTAGTATATATATATATATATATAAAAAAACAACTTAGTGATACCATAGACTTAGTTGATGCTGTCTTTTGTCAAATTATTTGGGTTTCAGCTGCAAGATCAATATGCTCATTCTTTTTTTGTAACAAGCTATGTTATTGTCATTGCTTGGTGCAAAGTTTAGAGACTCTCTTCTGTGAGATACACTATCGGAAGCTCCTAGTTTCTTACAATGTTATTTCAGGATAATCTTTTTATTACAGTGAATACTCTAATAACTCCTCAGAGTGTGATCACAGTTTTTTTGTAGTAACATATATTATCATTCTTCTTTTTACTAACCCGTACATCTATGGACTAATCTTGGTGATGAGTTTGATTTCTGATTTTCTCAAATGTCACAGCAGAGAGCGAAACAATAACCCTAGGTAAGTTTGTTATATACTAAGCATCTAATGATAAATATCCTTACAAACACTCCTAACAGTACCACTATTAAAGCCATGAGTAGATCCAATCCAAGAACTAACTATCTCGACTGTGACTCTTCGTTGTAATTGAATGGTAACGGAACCGATTTGAATGCTCTGAACTTCCCCACATTGTTCAAATGCTCGTTCTCTAACCTGTGTTCCCAAACAAAGCCAAAATAGTAAGTAAAAGAAATGTTTCCGAGGAGCATTTTTCGATAGTTTCTTGGTCAAGACGCAACCTGAAGAAATTCCAGATACCACGACGTATGATCTCGAGATTAGCAAGAAGAGCAACCATTATTTCTCTATGCAAGAACGGGATATTGAAATCTAGAACAGTCTGCAACCATGCCAACCTCAACACAACGTTTACCACCTACAAGCGAAGACAAGAGAAACAAAAATTAAAAAAAAAAAACCCTAAAATCTATATTCATTTTGTTCTCTTTATGTATGCTTTAGTTTTCACCATTGCAACGTAGTAGACAGATTTGTGAGGGACAAGAAGCTTCTCTCTCAACCAACTTTTAGACGATTTGTGAAGCAATCCCCAGTCAAACACAATGTCCCAATATGTGCCGTAAAAAGTTGCCAAGGCCGAGAAAAACCAAGCAGCGTTTCTCCATGCGTTTCCTCTGTTAAGGCTATTAGCTGTTCTCAAGCACACAGCAACAATGGTCAAGAAATACTTGAGGGCATTGTACCCTTCTACTGAAGATTTCTCTTCGATTAATCTCCGAACACACTGAAGGAAACGTGACCAGTAAGGAATCACAGCGACGATGAAGTAGAACGTGCTGTAGACATGACTTGATCTGCAAGTGTTTTGTCTGAGCCTGAAGTCTCCCCAACCATAGTAACATATGTAGAACTCCAAACTCCTCAGTGCTTGAACCTAAGGAAAAGGGTTTAGTTATGAAGTTGGAACATTTTGAAAACATGATCATGAATGTGAAAGGAAATGTTATGAACCACACAAACCTGGCTTGTGAATTGGTCCGCCAAGAAAAAATCCGGAAGATTAACCTGCAATTTTGATAAGAAGAAATTAAGAGATTTAACAATGTTTTAAGGTCGGATCTGAGATTTATGGACCATAAACATTTTACTATTAATTTTAATTAAAAAAATTTGGCAGACAAAGCAATGTTTCATACAGCTGTGCCAAAAATGTGTCCTGGTTTTTATTTAAGGATGTATTTGAGTAATTACCTTATAGAGCGGCGCAGCAATGCAGCGGAATACAACCATGATGAAGAAGAAGCGGCTTGACCGATAAAAAATGTTGAAGGGACATATAGTAATTGCTATCACTAGCTGCAAAACATTATATATAGAGTTGTTACTACATTAATAACATAATGATTTTAAGATTCTTGTGGTTGTAATGATGAAAAACTTACACCAACAATAAAAAGGGGAAGAAGTTCAGTGAGTGTCTTGTAGTCATTAGTATTAGGATCCATCTCCATGTCAAGGTTCATTATAACAGCAGCTAGAGCAAGCGTGTTGAGACCAAAGCTTAGAAGCAGAACATGTCTATAACCAAGCTCTGTACCTTCTTTGAATCCAAATATGAAAGCGTAATTCACTCGATATCTCTTCCAAAAGTATATGTTTGAAGCATACATGATCATGTGCAGGACAACAAATACAAACAAACTGTATAGAGGGAACATTGTCTCCATGTATATATTTTTTCCGTCTGCGCCCATTATATTACGAGCGTGTATTAACAAGGCAAGAGCAATCACTAGAGAGACTGAGCAGCCAACAAAAAAGCCTGAGAAAATACGAACAAATATGAGAGATTTCGAATAAACTGTTATAAAATGTTTGTAGTTACCAGTGGAAAACGTTGTTCGATGTTTTTCTTTCTTCACTTTTGGTCTTAAGAGATTCATTGCTTTGCTTCGATTCGAATTGGTGAAATGCTCCACGAAGATAGACTCAACTCTCACCATAAGTTTGTGGATCTGTTCAATGTAAATTAAGATTAGGTTTATAGTGTTATTATAAGAACATATATAGTAAGTTTTATGTAGAGATATGGAATTAACCTCATCAGAGCTAGTGAGATAGGACTTATCTACCGTCTCCATGTAAGTTTTTGCTGCATTTCTTGAAGCAATCTGATAGAGAATAAATACCGAAAACATATTAATAAATATCAAGAAATTAAAATATATATATCTAGTTAATCAAAGTTATTACCTTATCATACTTCTTCATGATCTTTGAAATCGCCAAGGTGTTCAAGAAGCTGAATGAATTTATAAACAATCTTTTATGAGTTATTCTTAAGAGTGCTTAAAAGAATATATGCAATTATGCATGCATACCTGTAATTGTTGAGATGTTTAAGCTTGCGGTAAAATTCAATGAAGACATCCTTAAGCCGTTCTTCTATTTTCTTGAGATTCTCCCTTGTGAATTTGAGTTCTTCGTGGTGAGAGAGCTTGAGGACGTTTCTAATCCTAGACAGAGTAGTTTCTTGATCTTTGTTTAGTCTGATACGGTCAAGAACACTTACGTCCCCTCTCGTTGAATCTCTATGGTTGGATCCATTTACCTCTACTATGATCTCATCAGCTAATGTCTCCCCTTCAAAACCAAACAAACACAAAACACTCATACTTATTGTCCTTTCATACTAAACCCTAGCAAGCAAAACAATCTATGTGAACTTACTATGTTCCGTAGTATCCAAGGCATCCACGTCGACTGATACTGCTTCGGAACATGTCCAAGAAGATGAAGGTTGATCTACTTTGATCCTGAAAGCAATCAGAGCATCCATTTGTCTGTTCAAAACCACTGCCTCTTCCACCATTTCCTCCACTTTAGACTTGTAAAAACCGTTCACTTTATCGAACTCAAGATCTAGGGTTTTAAAGAACACAAGCTCTGGCTCTCTCCCAGCTTCTGCAACTCTCATGATGGACGTCTCGTGTCTCTCAAACCCATCATCACCAATCGTTGCACTCACCATTATGTCCTGGTTTTCAATTTCTTCTGACGTGGCGGCTCGGGTGCAACGCTTTGTCAGGCCGCTAAAGTTGCGTTGCAAAGTTTGCTTGCGTGTAACGTCACCTGATCTTTTCCGTGCATTTTGGATTTCTTGGAGAATGGATTTGAGACAAGAGTAATCCATGTAAGCTTGTTGCCATTCTGGTATCATCTGAGCGACAAACTCTTTCCCAAACTTCATTGTTTGTGTTCTTCTCTGGAGTTCTTTGAAAAAAACTCAAGAATCAAGATCCAATCATAAAACCTATATATACACTTCACTGAAAAGTTGGCTGCTAAGTTAAAAACATGTAATGAACATTTACAGAGAAGATAAACAATAAAGAAAAAAAATGCAAGAACAGATCTTGAAGAATTACAAGAGAAAGGTTGATGAAAAAATTGTAGGAGAAGAGTGGAATTGGCCAACGATTAGAAGCAGAAAAAGTGGAATAGGTTAACCATGCAAATCTCGGAATCTATTCAACAGGTCTTTTATATGTACGTTCACAAGCTATATTATTCATTTTATAAACGATATTTTCTTTCCTTGACATTTATAGAAACAAAGGTTTTGTGAGTCACATACAGCTTTTTTGGGTCTAATCACACACAGCTTTGCAAATGGATTTAATTCCAAGTGAGAAAATTCAAAAAAATTGAACTGAAGTTGGAAAAGACATTTGGTGTGGTGACGATGAAAATCAATAATTGCTTCTTTAATAACGCACGAACGGAAAGTATTTCTCTGATCAAAATACTATAATCAGATTCAGAATAGTATAATTATTTTGGAATGAGAAGAGTATAAATTTAAACGCGCTTTTTGTTGTTTTCGTCTATTGGACTGTAAACGATTTAATTGAGCATGTTTAGTCTACTATCTTTGGGTTCTTGGCGGAATATAAGAATCCGTCTCTTAATTTTTAACTAAAAAACTAAAAATCAATTCTTAAATAAGATTAAAAATTATTTATTAGTTTTTTTAGGTTAAAGCTAAGAGACGGTTCTTATATTCCATTAAGAATTCCACATGCTCTAAGTATCCACTCCTAAATCAAATATCAGAAGACCAAGAAATGGATCCAACAACTTTAAAACTATAGTGACTTTTATTCTGTTTATCATATGCATAATGGAGTCCATGTATTTTTTTTTTTAACACTATATCAATATTCCATTGGTCTCCAAGTTGATTATATAGTTATTAAAAGTTCTTTTTTTTGTCACTAGTTATTAATAAAAGTTCATTACTAGAAGTTAATATATATGTACCCCTTTAGTTTTAGATGAATTGTTTGTTGTGCAGGTTCATTATGACCTGATGTTCTCAAACGTGTAGTGGTGTGGTTATATGTATCTTTTAAAATTTGATGGGATTGCCTAGATCCGCAAGGTCGATCCACTTTTCTTATTTGATTTCCTCTTGTAGTCCCTAGTCAGCCATTTACAAAGCCAGTAACTAATGTAACTTTGGGGTTAACATATCTACATGTATTGATTAACACATTATATCTTGAAAATGTCAATCACTAGTTTGATTTATCTTGGAAACTATTGTTAAACAAAGTCAATTCAATGGATCTTCCAAAGGTCTGAGGGGTTCCATAGTCTTTGATAGCGAAAGTCCGAGATTCATTTAGCTTTTTCAGAATAATCATAGAACTGAAAAATTCAAATAATAATCTGAAATATTTAATCAAACTACAGCTAGAGAACAGAATCTCTGTGGCTTGTATTGTATCTAGTTTGATCCTAATCTTTGACTCTCCTTTTATTTTTACTTTTGATGGGGTTTGTAACATGGCTGACTTCTCCACGTACATGTCAATATTATCCCTTTAATTCTCATTACGTCGAAGCTTCTAAGCATCATCTTCTACGTTGATTACGTTGACACACATTTTTTGACCAAAACGTTTCATAAAACGCTAAAAGTCCGAACGTTCGACTAATGCCTCGCTAGTTTTTGAACACTAGTGCAAATCGGTTCTTATAACTATTTGCTACGATGTACCATGTCCAGCGACATCTTTGTACTCAAAACTAAAACTTATAGCTAGTTTTAGTTTGACCAAAACGTTTCACAAAACGTTAAAAGTCCGAACGTTCGACTAATGCCTCACTAGTTTTTGAACACTATCGTGCAAATCGGTTTTTATAACTATTTGCTACATTCAGGGTTGGCCCGAGATTTTGGGAGTGTATGATGATTTCTATGTAAAAAAAGTTTTAAGGGGTCTAAAATTTTTTTGAGAGCTTATACTTATTTAATGTTCTTCAAAATTTTTGGGGGTCTGAGGCGAATGTTTCACTAAGGATACCCAAAACCGACCTTGACTACGTTGTACCATATTCAACGACGTGTCACTATCTAATTAAGTTGCAATAACATGTAGCAATTTTGCACTAACGACAAGTTAAAATGAAGCAGAAGGAAGCCATTTTGTACTTTTCTAATATACTACTGATTGTTTAGATATCATATTTTCTAAATAAATTGTAGTAAACAGAGTTAGCAATGATTGTAGTTATGTTAATGTTAAGTTCAGTCGATGGTGTGCGAAAATAAAAACGCAATGAGATACTGATCTAGTTGTTTTTTTATTTTACTTTTTTTTTCATAAATGTGTATATTTCTGAAACAATTAGTTATTTAGTGACTTTCTAAAAATAATTTTCTAGATTGACTAATATAATATTGGTCATTAATCATTATTCGTTTACGTTTTTTTCTTGACTAATTCATAAAAATATTAAAGTACAAAATGTCAGCCACACGTGAACCAACTCGAAGATTGTTCGTCCTACATTCCTACAATATATTATAACAGATTTTTCAAAATTTCAATAGCTTTCTAAAGATCGTATTCTTTCAAATTGGCAGCATTTTATACATAAAACATGATGAGGCACCTCTATGAGGAACTGAGGATTATATTGTACACGTTAGAGCACCTACAACGCAAGTAATTAATAGATCATTAGCGGGAATACATATGCAATGAAGGATAAAAAAATAATAAAAAGTGTGATTAACATAAGGATTGATCCGTAGATAAGGCTTTTAAGAATTCAGTCCTTGTTGACGTGGCAGTGGAGAGAGAGGGTCGTTTTTGATGTGTTTCATTTTCTACTCTACATCGGAAAAAAAAATGTGTCTGTGAGAAAAGCGATTTCCTCTCTTCAGATTTACAAGGTAAATTAAAGGCTCCTTTGGTTGATTTATTGATTCGAAATTGTTTGCATGTTGTTTTCCTCTCATTTTCTGGTTGGGATTTTTCTTTGAAATCGATTTGGGGATCAGATTCAGGGGAAACGAAAGGAGACAGCGGAGAGGATGAGGTTGAATTGGAGTTAGATGGTGGAGATGGAGAAAAGCTTGGAACCAACCTAAACCGTTACGGTGATTAGATTTAATCTCTATCTAATAAGATTCGTAGTCAGAACTGCTTCCATCTTATTAGTGTCCATGGTTAAATATAAATGTTGAAACTTTTGGTGTTGTTCTTAATGTGTGTTTCAGATGGAGCAACGAGATGGCCTGACTGGTTACAACGCAGCGATTGCGGTTGCGGACGTTTGCGGATGCGGGAGATTGCGGTTCTAAGCGTTAGTAAGAGATTTATACGACTGGTTCAACGGTTAAAAATTGTTGCGTTTGCGGGATACTTATGACTAGTTTATCATCAAATACAACAACGGTTAATTAATAAATTAACAATATTTATATTTTATATAATTATCAAAATATTAAAATAATATTTTCATGATAAATATAAAATTTTTATTGAAAAAATTGCACTATTAAATTTTTAAAAATTAAAGAAAATAGTTTTTTAGAAATTTTAAAATATAAATATTTCAGTATTTTAATTATTTTAATTTAAAATTTTAATTGAATATTTTATTTTTATATTTATATTAGTTTTTTGGAAAAAATATATTTTTATCCTCTCACAATCGTCCGCAACCGCAAACGCTAGCTGGAACCAGCTTTTGAATTTTAGAGATTCAGTGATTTGAAGCGGTTTATAGCGTTTTTTGTGATTGTTGCAAAACGCCAACAACCGCTATCAACCGCAAAAGTTGCATTTGCGGGTGATGACGGGAGAACCGGTCAGGGCATAAGTAGTAAAGCTTCTTTAGCTTCAACAACATCTGGATTCAGTCTCTCTTCTTTTAGGAATTCACTTAGACAATCATGGTTTCTTGACATTTTCTGTTTAATAATTCGTTGCTTTGTCGTAAAATTTCACTTTAGTTCAAGCTTATGCCTGCAAAGTGTTTGCTTTTATTCCTCATAGAACCCCGAAGTTTGCCGAAAAAGAGAAAATAACTTCTTACTGTTGAACTGTTGTCTTTTGCTCTGTTTTCTTACATGAACTGGTAATAATTCTTTTATTTTATTTTTGTATTACTTTCTCAATTTGATTCCTACCCCTCTCTTAGATCTTGTCTTGATTTTCTCCTAATTCTACAGGTCACAAAGTTGATTTTATTTTCTCTTGTTCTTACCATGAGACTGATTATTGACCCATCTGTGGCTATAACGGCATTGATTGCGGCCATTCTGGTGGTTCCAATGGGTTGCCAAAGGCCTAAAGTGGTGACACTTGGAGTTGTTTTTGCTTTTGCTTTTGACTCCATTATCGGAAGAGCTGCAAAATTAGCTTTTGAGGGCGCTGTGTTCAAGCCAATGTTGTATGAGCTTCTCTCTGGAGGTAAGAGTTAGTTTCTTCAACGCTCGGTCAATCTTTGCATTTCCTTTGTGTTGAATTAGTGTATTATGATCTGCAGAAGTCGATGTGTGGAAGATTGCTCCTCGTTTCTCGGATTTGCTTACAAACACAGGAACAGTGCAAGCCATTAACGTGTCTAAGAGTATATTACCATCAGCCCCTAATGGGAACAGAGAGGCAGCTATGAAGGTATTGTCATTTCAATTTGCATCTTGTTTAGAACGAGTGGAGATGCTAAAGTGAAGTTTGTGGGTTTAGGTTACGTCAAGAAAAGTCTAGTTACTATGTGTTAATTCGATGGTATATGACATTAGAGTCAATCACTTAATCATTAGCAACACTCTTGTTATCTGATAGTTATTAATAAGTCCATATGTTTGTTGCATAATTGCATTTTAAGGTGTTTCCATTATTTCTCTTCTACAAACAAAAATTTCACAAGTTTTATAATTTATTATTTTTTTAATTTTTAAGGATTCTTAATATAATATTATTGGACAAATATTTTTAATTAAGATCCTTAACTATTTAAAAAAGAAAAAAATTAAAATAAGGATAAGGGCTCTATTGGAGATGCTCTATCACTTCCGTTAAGAAAATGATTAATTCGAACAAATGATGGGCCTACTAGAATAGTTTCGTGTTTTGTGAAAAAATAGAAGTCAAAGTCAGCCTTTACCAAAAAAAAGACGAAAACTCTAAACGAAACAGAAGGTTTTGGATCCATAGTCGACGTGTCTCCACCAATTAAAAACAAACACGCGTCGACAGCTCCTTCCGTCTTCAACCTTCCTTCTCTGCAACAACAATTGAGAAGCAAAAACAGAAACATCTCTCTCTCTCTCTTTTGAAGTTTCCGCCATGGTTCTCCGATCACAAAACCTCTGGACGTTCCTCTCAGTCCTAACGCTTCTCTCCCACGTATCTCAATCTCTCCACTTCGAACTGCGATCAGGTCGAACAAAATGTATATCGGAAGACATCAAAAGCAATTCAATGACCGTCGGAAAATACACCGTCGTTAACCCAAACGAAGCTCACCCTTCTCCTCCTTCTCACAAGATCTCCATAAGGGTACTCTCAAAATCCTTTCTTTTTTTAATTCTTTTTTTTTATTAACTTTGTTTTATACATACACACAGGTGACATCGAGTTACGGGAACACGTATCATCACGCGGAAGACGTGGAGTCTGGACAATTCGCGTTCACGGCGGTGGAAGCTGGAGATTACATGGCTTGTTTCACTGCCAGCGATCATAAACCTGAGGAGACTTTGAGTATTGACTTTGATTGGAGGACTGGGATTTATTCCAAGAGCTGGACTAGTGTTGCCAAGAAGAGTCAAGTCGAAGTGAGTTTTGGCAAATTATGCTTTTCTTGTTGTTTGGTAATAACTCTATAGTCTTTGTCCTTATGCTTGTGTGTTGTGTTTGTGTTTGTAACCAAAGGTTATGGAGTTTGAGGTAAAGCAATTGATTGAAACCGTTAACTCGATTCATGATGAGATGTTTTATCTCAGAGACAGGTAAATAATGTTTCTTTTTTATGCTTCTGGGTTGTACTACAGTATGAAGTTGTGGTTATAACTTGATGAGTTTTGTTTTGTTTTTAGGGAGGAAGAGATGCAAAAATTGAACAGGGCTACAAACTCTAAAATGGCTTGGCTTAGTCTCCTCTCTCTTTTTGTATGCTTAGGAGTCGCTGGTATGCAGTTTTTGCACTTGAAGACTTTTTTAGAGAAGAAGAAAGTCATCTAAGATGGTTAGTTAGATGGTACAATCCCACTCTTGCTTTTCCCAACTCAACGAATCTTTTATTCCTTGGGGGTTTGTATATTTAGATCTTTGTGCATGGCTTTAGCATGTCCTTTTGGAACTGGAACTCAAATGAATGTGAAAGTGTTTTGCTATTTTACACACATACATACACACTAGAGATATAATCAATACGTAGACATCTAGCCAGAGAAAATGCAGTCAACAAGCCGCTGCAGCTAGTAGAAACTTGACGGATAAGTTGTAAGAAAATATGATAGTGTAACACCACATGAATTTTCTTCTCTGGACACATCAGTCTCAAAGTTTGGTTGAGAACTTAAGCACTGGAATCGCTTCTTCATCCCAAATGAGTTCCAACAGAAAGGACTCTCTTACCTTTACCCCATGATCCTCACAGAACTCTTTCCATCCTTTTCCAATTCGCATTATTCCGAATCTGTTGTGCTGTAATAGATCCACTTGTTTCTTCACTCCATCTTTACCTAATAGCGTTATTTTTCTTGGCTTATTGATGCCATTCACTCTTGTGAAACCCAGCGGAAGAGTCTGCGCAAAGATTTGACTTTAAGCAATAAAAGAAAATAACAGACCAAGAGACAACCTTGAGGCAGAGTTGTATAAGAGTTTACCAGTCTAGCGGCTTTAAGAGCTCTCTGTGTTAGAGTTAATTTCACAAATCGTTGACTAAATGAAGATGAAGCTCTGTAGCTTGAGCTACTCTTCATTTTCTCCATCTCAAAGTTTTCATGTGAGCTGCCTTCGTCTTCAGAACTCTCCTCTTCACTTTCTTGGGATTCTTCTCTACTATCATTTCCGCTGCTAGTATCTGAGGAGAGGGAGTTTACATCATCACTATCTTCTGAACACTCTAATGGCGTTTTGCCACGGTTGGAACTGCACAACAAGAGAAAAGGCTTGCCCCCAGTTTCTACAAGTTTAAGCATAAAGGAATCTTCAGCTTTGATCCCGTTTACTTGGCAGAAAGTTTGCCAGCCTGGTCCAAGATAAGTATGGTTGAGTACATCGTAGTGTCTCAAACCTAAAGTCCATCTTCCTCCCCATTCATTCTTTAAAATTATATCGCTGAATCTTTCCAGACCATTTGCATTCATAAACTTCCTCGGAATATACTGCAAAAAGACACATGCATATCAATATACAAAACTACATAGAGCATTTGAAGGTGTGAATGAAACTATAGTGTGAGTTTATGTATTCACCAGTTTATCAGTTCTTAGACTATTAGAAGAGACAGATCCAACATAGTAAGAATGGTGTAGTGAAGATTCTGGAGCTGGTTTTGGCTCATGTTCTGCACTGCACAAACGAAGGACTGGTGGTAATTTTCTGACCAGTTTGAATGTATAGTGATGACCTTTGTTCATACTATTCTGAGCGCAGAATCTTCTCCAGCCAGGTCTGACAAAAGTATGCATGCGTGCTTTGTTGTATGTCATATTAAAGTTCCATGATCTTCCTTCCTCGTTAAGAATAACGATCTCTTTACCGCTCATTTTGTCAAGACCGTTTGACCTAGTAAAACCCGTTGGTACATACTGCGAATGCCATCACATAATTTGATTAATGTGTCTCAGGTGAACATATTTTAACTATAAACTAGGAGATATGTTTCTTGAAGTGTAGGAATCTGAACTAACCAGTCGATTAGACTTGAGGGTGAGACATGTGCCACAAATTGAAAATGGTCTGATGAAGACTCTTCTTTCGTTCTTTGGTCCTTCTTCACTCTCTTTCTCTTCTCTCCTGAACTGTTTCCTGTAACTTGAAAACAATTTAAAAAATCTCAAGTTTGCATCTTTTTCTACAGAATTTGAGTATATTATTAGTCTTTTTTTTTTTGTTGAATACGGAGAGACCCCCTGCCTGAAACCTGTAATATTTGTTTTGTCTCAGCGATTCTCTAACACAATGGCTAGGAGTCATTTCTAGTTGAGCAAACGACTTCTGGTATTTTTTAAAGTACATTTCATAGAACAAAAGTTAATCATACCAGTATTGTTGGTCTGATCATCACTATCATCATTGGTGTTGTGAGATGATGATGAAGTATATTGAATGTCACAGCAACATGGTCCGAAAGCTGTGACGTGAAACACCATATCTCCTTCATGTCTGAAAATGATGATGTCACCAATCCGGAGCTCATGCGCTCCTGCAAACTCTTCCCAACCATCAGTGAATCTCAAACCGTTTATCTTCATTAACCATGTTTTAGCAGACGCATCTGTTCTCAGTTTCGCAGTTTTGATGTGGTCGTTTCTTCCTTCCACGTGCTTGGAGAAGAAAGCTACAGGAATGTTCTGCACCAGCATGCAAACAAAAATTTAAGCAAATGAAACACTTTTCTTGAGGCGCAAGAAAAGAGTTAAGAAGAGTACAATGTGAGTGTGGAAGCCCGGAAGGAGAGGCTGGAAGAAATGTGGGTTGTTCGGAGAGTGAAGAGATTGATCATCAGCCATTAATTGTTGTAACACCTCAAGAAAAAACCTCTCAATAAAATCTTTATATCCTAAGCAGAGAGAATACTAGGAAGGAATCTTTTGGTGGAGTCAGAGTTTCATAAAGGTCAGCACTTTTATGACACTTGTCTTCGTGGCCTTGAAACTCTCGAGATGGTGCATAATTTCGAGTCAGTTACCTTTTCCAGAAACGTTTTTTTTAAAAAGAAACTTATCGACTTTCTCCCTATAATAACGATCTTCCTCTGCTTTTTAGAGCCGTTGATCTCGTGAAGAATCTTTGCTAAAGACAGAATCAAAGTGACAACACAAACACAAAGACAGAGATCTGTCTTATTTTAGGGGTGGATTGCAAGTTTCGAGCATTTGAAAAAAAAAACTAGTATAAGGAGTTATTTCACAGATGAGTTATACATTGCTGAGGTATTTTTCCAATTTCTTCAATGACCTGATAATAAAGAAGTGCTTAGTATAACTACCTTGTAAGAATGACGTTTCTATGATAGTTTTCACAATCTTTAATTAGTATGATCCACGATCCTTATTCATTCATTAGTAGAACTATCTCACTGAATCGTCTATCCAAGCAAAGAGTCAAACCATTTGATCACAAACCTTTTTTACAACATACTGCAAACAGATTTATCACAAGTTAGTATAGTCAAAAAAAAAAGAAACATACAGGTTAGGGTTTATGAGACATTCGCTACCTAGGTAAATTTCTATCACCTGTACAAAAACTAACAAAAGTTCATTAGTGAATTTTGATAATTATTTTCCATTAATAATATTAAAAGTATCTTTTGTTTAGTGTTTGATAATTATTGCAACTTTTATATCCCACTCTCTGTTACATGGAAGTTAAATTGTATGGGAGTACAGAAACAATATTTTTTAAAAACCTATGAAGCCAAAATATTGTATGTTGGAAGCTTATATCCAAATATATATAAACCTAATTTTATAAAACATATGACTAAAAATATATGCAAGATCTTGTATAATTAGATCTATGTGGCTTGAGCATGTGCTTTTGGAATTGGAGATTAAATGAATGCCAAAGTGTTTGCCATAATTTACACACACATTAGAGGTATGATCGATAAGTAGACATATAGCCAGAAGCAACAAGAGAATAATATACAGTTAACAAGCTGCTGCAACTTAAAGAAATTTGACAGATAGATAGTAAGAAAATATTGTACCACAAGAATCTTCAAAGTTTGGTGCAGAACTTAAGCATTGGAATTGCTTCTTCATCCCACATGAGTTCCAAAAGAAAGGACTCTCCTACCTTTACACCGTGAGCATCACAGAACTCTCTCCATCCTTTTCCAAGTCGCATTATTCCGGTCTTTCTATTCTGATCCAAAAGATCCACCACCTGTTTCTTCACTCCATCTTTATATAACAGAGTTATCTTCCCTGGCTTGTTGATGCCATTAACCCGTGTGAAATCCAGCGGGAGCATCTGCGCAAAGCTTTGTCTTAAAGCAATAAATAAATAAAAGACCAAGAGACACCCTTGAGGCAGAGTTGTGCATGAACTTACCAGTTTATAGGTTTTAAGAGCTCTCGGTGTAACAGTTAATTTCACAAATCGGTCCTGACTATCTGAAGATAAAGCTCTGTATATATTCTTCTCTTTCTCAATCTCAAACCATCCCAGTGAGCTGCCTTCGTCTCCAAGACTACTCTCCTCTTCACTGCTAGTATCTGAGGAGAGGGAGTGTACATCATCACAATCTTTTGAACACTCTAACGGCGTTTCCCCACAGTTGGAACTGCACAACAAGAGAGCAGGCTTGTTCCCAGTTTCAACCACCTTAAACATAAAGGAATCTCCAGCTTTGATCCCGTTTACTTGGCAGAAAGTTTTCCAGCCTGGTCCGAGATAAGTATGGTTGAGTGATTCGTAGTATCTCAAACGTAAAGTCCATCTTCCTCCCCATTGATTCTTTAACGTTATCTCACTGAATCCTTCCAGACCATTTGCAGTCACAAATTTTCTCTGAAGATACTGCAAAACGGACACATCCATATCAATATACAAAACTACATAGAGCATTTGAAGGTGTGAATGAAACTATAGTGTGAGATTATATATTCACCTGTTTATCAGTTCTTAGACTATTAGAAGAGACAGATCCAACATAGTAAGAATGGTGTAGTGAAGATTGTGGAGCTGGTTTTGGCTCATGTTCTGCACTGCACAAACGAAGGATTGGTGGTGATTTTCTGACCAGTTTGAATGCATAGTGATGACCTCGGTTCATCCCATTTTCAGCGCAGAATCTTCTCCAACCAGGTCTGACAAAAGTATGCATGCCTGCTTCGTTGTATTTCATATTAAAGTTCCATGATCTTCCTTCCTCGTTAAGAATAACGATCTCTTTACCGCTCAGTTTGTCCAGACCGTTTGACCTAGTAAAACCCGTTGGTACATACTGCAAATTGCCATCACATAATTTGATTAATGGGTCTCAGGTTAACTAATAGAAATAATTTTTGAAGTGTAGGAATTTTAATCTAACCAGTCGATCAAATCTTAGACTTGAGGGTGAGACATGTGCCACAAATTGAGAATGATCTGATGAAGACTCATTTTTCGTTCTTGGGTCCTTCTTCACTCTCTTTCTCTTCTCTCCTGAACTGTTTCCTGTAACTTAAAACCAATTTTAAAGAATCTCATGTTTGCATTTTTTCCTACAGAATTTGAGCATTTATTAGTATTTTTTTTACAGAGGAGACCCCATGTCAGAAACTACAACATGTAATATTTGTTTTGTCCTAGCGGTCCTCTAACACAATGCCTAGAGTGTATTGAGCTAATGACTTCTAGTATTTTTTTAGCACACTTCATAGAACAAAAGTTTATACCAGTATTGTTGGTCTGATCATCACTACCATCATTGTTGTTGTGAGATGATGATGAAGTATATTGAATGTCACAGCAACTTGGTCCAAAAGCTGTGACATGAAACACCATCTCTCCTTCATGTCTTAAAATGATGATGTCACCAATGCGAAGCTCATGCGCTACTGCAAACTCTTCCCACCCATCTGTGAGTTTCAAGCCGTTTATCTTTACTAACCAAGTTTTAGCAGATGCATCTGTTCTCAAGTTGGCGGTCTTGACGTGTCTGTTTCTTCCTTGTACGTGCTTTGTGAAGAAAGCTACGGGAATGTTCTGCACCAAACATGCAACAATGTTTAAGCAAATAGAACATTTTGAAGACAGATCATTTCTTGAGGGGCAAGAAAAGAGTGAAGAGTACGAGGTGGGTGTGGAAGCCGGGAAGAAGAGGTTGGAAGAAATGTGGTGTGATCGGGGAGTGAAGAGATTGATCAGCCATTGTTGAATGAACACCTCAAGATAAGATCTCTCAGTAAAATCACTTATGTTTATATTCTGAGCAGAGAGAATAATAGGAAGCTTATGGTGGACACGAGTTTCATAAAGATGACAACTTTTATGACATTTGTCTTCTTATTCTTTTGAATCTCTCGAGGTGAATAATCTCGAGTTTGTTACCTTTTCCAGAAAACTTTGTCGACTTGTCCAAAAAACCATGTCTATCCAATAGAATGATCTTACTCTGCTTTTTAGAGCCGTTGATCATCGTGAAGAATCTTGCTAAACACTTCATTATAACTGTTATTTTAGACTTATGCACACAAATTAAGAAAACGATTAACTTTTCATATTTTCTATAAAAAAACACAATCACCTATATTACTAATCACTTTTAACCAATAGGAAAACAAATTACATAATAAATTAATAAATTTTACATTGAAAATCGAAAACAACATTTATTTTCTAACGAAAAAATTTATTTACAACGATACTTAATATAAAACATAAAACAGAGGGAGTATACAAAAGTGACAACACACACAAATGTCTTATTTAGGAGATCGCAAGTTTCAAAAAAACTAGTAACGGTATCGTTTTCAACTAAATAAATCTTAGATACCCTTAAATACTAGTTACTCTAATATCTTATTGAGGTTGACTTTATGATAGAGTTTAAAAATCCCTAACTCCTTTATTGATTATCAGAATGAGAATACAAGAACAGCAACAACGATTACAAGGATAAACGAATAGCTTTGAGCTGACTCCAGCTAAGCTCTCATGGCGAGCTTCACCTTCTTCACCGATCTCATGGCAATCGGGTCAAGATGACTCATGGCGTCACTCTTCATACAACATCAAAGCATAATCTTCTTCATTCTCTGTTCGTCATTCTTATACTCTTCATCTTTCTCACGAGCTGCTTCAATCCACCGTAACAGCAAAGCTTATCACTCAACCAGAGTCTTCTCAACCATCCTTCCTTTAGCCACGTCATCCTCCTTGCTTGCCAAGGCCGTGTAAAGATAGATTGATATCTATCACTTTATACATCTCAAAGACGTTAGGTGGGATATAAAAATTGCAGTTACCATTTACTGTATCGTGGTGGTTTAATAGTTTCACCAGATGAAGTCGTTCTGTTAGTTCATGCCAACATAGTTCCATGTACAGTCAGTGGTAAATGGTAATTGCAATTTTTATATCCCAGCTAACATCTTTGAGATGTATAAAGTCAACCCCAATAAGATATTGGAGTAACTAGTATTTAAGGGTATTTAAGATTTATTTAATTGAAAACAATTATGAAAATGGAAAAGAGAAAGAAAGAGAAAGAAAGAAAGCTCTTTTATGAGAACTCCAAAAGAAATTAATATTTTGTTACATGTATCAGTTTTGATTTGTTGAGCCCTTTGTAATGGCTAAAATTTTAATTACTTATTAAATTATAGTAAGATTATTAATATATTATCTTTGAGATATCTTAAATGACATACTCATGAATGGACGTGCTCTAATTCATCTTCAATAATCATTTGCCATTTTACACATAAGTAACACACACTCATTAAAAATGTGATCGATAAGTAGACATATAGCCAGAAGCAACAAGAGAATAATTATAATATGCAGTCAACAAGCTGTTGCAATTTAAGAAAATATTGTACCACAAGAATTTTCGTCTCTGGACACAATGCACACTCTCAAAGTTTGGTGCAGAACTTAAGCGTTGGAATTGCTTCGTCATTCCAAATGAGTTCCAACAGAAAAGAATCTCCTACCTTTACCCCATGATCCTCACAGAACTCTTTCCAGCCTTTTCCAATTCGCATTGCTCCAGTTGATATGTTCTTCAAAAGACCCACCTCCTGTTTCTTCACTCCATCTTTACTTAACAGAGATATCTTTCTTGGCTTGATGATGCCATTCACCCGCGTGAAACTCAACGGAAGGTGCTGCGCAAAAATTTGATTTTAGACACACAAAGAGAGAGAAAGAACCTTGAGGCAGAGTTGTATATTAACTTACCAGTACAGAGGTTTTAAAAGCGCTCTGTGTAAGAGTTAATCTCACAAAACGGTGTTTACTAAATGGAGATGAACACATGCATTCTTGTGAGTTGTCCTTATCTTCAATACTCTCCTCTTCACTTTCTTGGGATTCTTCTCTACTGTCATCTTCGCTGCTAGTATCTGAGGAGAGGGAGTTTACAGCATCACTATCTTCTGAACACTCTAATGGTGTTTTCCCACGGTTGGAACTGCATAACAAGAGAGCAGGCTTGTCCCCTGTTTCAACCAGTTTAAGCATAAATGAATCTCTAGCTTTGATCCCGTTTACTTGGCAGAAAGTTTTCCAGCCTGGTCCGAGATAAGTATGGTTGACTGATTTATAGTGTCTCAACCCTAAACTCCATTTTCCTCCCCATTCATTCTGTACAGTTATCTCACTGAATCTTTTGTCCAGACCATTTGCAGTCACAAAATGCATCTGAAGATACTGCAAAATGACACATGCAATATCAATATTCAAAACTACAAATAGTAGTTTAAGTTCCAAAAGCTATAGTGTGAGTGTATGTATTTTACCAGTCTATCAGTTTTTAGGCTACTAGAACTGACAGTTCCCACATAGTAAGAATGGTGTAATGAGGGTTCTGGAGCTGGTTTTGGCTCATGTCCTGCACGAGATAAACGAAGGACTGGTGGTGCAGATTTTCGGACCAGTTTGAATGTACAGTGATGACCTTGGTTCATCCCATTTTCAGCACAGAATCTTCTCCAACCAGGTCTTATAAATGTATGCATGCCTGCTTTGTTGTATGTCATATTCAGATTCCATGATCTTCCTTCCTCGTTAAGAAGAACGATCTCTTTACCACTCATTTTGTCTAGACCGTTTGAACTAGCAAAACCCTTTGTTACATACTGCAATGTCAAATAATTCGATTAGGGGCTCTCGGACTAACAAAATTAAACTACACCCTCTGTTTTTGTGTTCATAGACTACAAAATTATTTATTTTTCTATTTTAAATAAAAACATCATTAATTATTTGGTTAAATATAATTGAACTAATAATAAAATAAAAATGTATACTAATAATAAAATTTTTAATAAGTTTTGCATTGAAGATTGATAATGCTATATATAATTTGGAACAAAATATTTTCTCTAAAACGTCAAGTGTTTAAAAAAAACGGAAGGAGGATTATAACTACGAGACATGTTGCATCATGTGGTAATCAAATCTAATCTAATCTAAATCTAACCAGTCGATCGTTTTTTAGACTTGAGAGTGAGACATGTGCCACAAAATGAGAATGGTCTGATGAAGACTCTTCTTTCGTTCTTGGATTCTTCTTCACTCTCTTTCTCATCCCACCTGAACTGTTTTCTGTAGCTTAAAAAAATCAGAAAACCTCTCTTCTTCAACAGAATTTGAGTACATTTCATGGAACAAAAGCTCACCAGTATTGTTGGTCTGATCATCACTATCATCATTGGTGTTGTGAGATGATCTTGAAGTATACTGAATGTCACAGTAACTTGGTCCGAAAGCTGTGACATGAAACACCATCTCTCCTTCATGTCTAAAAATGATGATGTCACCAATCCTGAGCTCATGCGCTACTGCAAAATCTTCCCATCCATCGGTGAATCTCAAGTCGTCCATCTTCACTAACCATGTTTTAGCGGACGCGTCTGTTCTGAGCTTCGCAGTCTTGATGTGTTCGTTTCCTCCTTGGACGTGCTTCAAGAAGAAAGCCACGGGAATGTTCTGCACCAACATGCAACAAAAATTTAAGCAAATGAAACACTTTTCTTGAGGCGCAAGAAAAGAGTTAAGAAGAGTACAATGTGAGTGTGGAAGCCCGGAAGGAGAGGCTGGAAGAAATGTGGGTTGTTCGGAGAGTGAAGAGATTGATCATCAGCCATTGTTCTAACACCTCAAGAAACCTCTCAATAAAATCTTTATATCTTGAGCAGAGAGAATACTAGGAAGGAATCTTTTGGTGGACTCAGAGTTTCAAAAAGGTGAGAACTTTTATGACATTTGTCTTATTGGTCTTGAACCTCTCGAGGTAAATAATTTCGAGTTACAGTAACGCTTTCCAGAAACCTTTCTCCCAAAAAACCATGTTTATCCAATAGAATGATCTTCCATTGCTTTTTAGAGCCTTTGATCTTCGTGAAGAATCTTGCTAAAGACAGATATCAAAATGACAACACATACAAAGACAAAGACATATGTCTTGTTTAGGGGATAACAAGTTCCGAGCTTTTGAAATTATTGTCACGAATGGGCTGTGCCGTGGAGATGAAGCTACCCTTTTTCCACTTTTTTTTAAGTGCCCTAACAACAATAAAGTGCTTAGTATAAATACTTTGTAAGAGATATCATTTCACAATCTTTAGTTAGTAATTAAGGGGCATGTTCATCCCCATTCATTCATTAGTAGAACTATCTCAATAAATCCTTTCAAGACCATTTGATTTCACAAACCTCTTTAAACAGACACTGCAAATATATTTAAAACACAAGTTAAATTTCAGTCACATGTTCATTATTTGAATTTTGATAACTATTATTCCTTTATTATATCAAAATATCTTGTGCGATAGGGTTTTTTATCTTACAACCGTTCAGTCCTTACTTATTTTGTTAAACTATATATTTAAAAGCTAAAAGGTTAAAACTTAAAACTGTAACTCAGTCGTAGGTCTGAACATACAAATTATAGAATCATACAAATTAGATATCTAGCTCGTGTGTTTAGTGTTTGATATCTTACAGTATTACAACCGTTAAGTCCTTGCTGTTTTGAACCTCTGCTATTTAAAACTTAAACGGTTAAACCTTAAAACAGTACATAATTCAATTGTAGATCTGAATGGGTTCACTTTTCTGTCTCTTCATAGATTTTACAAATAGCTTTCTAATTCCATGTACAGTCATTGATAAATGGTAATTGTAACTTTTATATCCCACTTAATGTCTCTGAGATATATAAAAATATACTTCCAACAGGAGATACGCATGTAATATTTAGTAAAAAGGAAAAAGAGATCTTCTTAAGAGATATAAGAGTATTCTTATCAATGTGTTCTATGCCTAAAGTTCTCAAAATACATATGTGTATGTATATATAAATAATAGTATTTAATTGTAGAGTTCTTAACTTTACCGGAAACACAACCCAAAAATTCTCAAAAAAAATATTTTGGATTATGTTTTCCATAAAATTAAGAACTTTATAATTAAATAATAATATTAATATATACATACACATATATGTATTTTGAGATTATTTGGATGAGAAACCTATAATGGAGTTGGTTTAAGAGAGTGAAAAATACCTTACAGAAAATTTTTATTGATACTTTTCAGAAACTTCAATGCTTGTTATTTATTTTCTAGTTGCTTACATTTTAGGAATATACCAAAATTTAATTCATTAGTAGTTAAATATTAATATTTTTGGACAGAGAATCTTAAATGGAAAAACCTACTGATGGGGATGCTCCAAGAACAACCACAATAGGGGTAACTGGTATATATTTATGGGTATCCAAAGATTATTTAGTTGAAAACAATTATGAAAAATAGAAAGAGAAAGAAATAAAGTTCACTAATGAGAAGTCCAACAAAAAAAAAAGAAAAGTTTTTGTTACATGTGTACAGTTTTTTATTTGTTGAGTCTTTTTTAATAGCTAAAGTTTTAGTTACTTATTAAATTACAATAAAATGATTAATATTTTATCTTTGAGATATGGGTCCATGAATCTAATTTTCATCTTCACTCATCATTTGCCGTTTTATACACACACACACTAGAGATATGTTTGAAAAGTGGACATCAAGCCAGAAGCAACAAGAGAATGCAGTCAACAAGCTGCTGCAACTTAAAGAAATTTGACAGAGTGTAAGAAAATATTGTACCACATGAATCTTCTTCTTTGGACACAACACTCTCAAAGACTCAAAGTTTGGTGCAGAACTTAAGCACTGGAGTTGCTTCTTCATCCCTAATGAGTTCCAACAGAAAGGACTCTCGTACTTTTACGCCATGATCCTCACAGAACTCTCTCCATCCTTTTCCAAGTCGCATTGCTCCAGTTGATTTGTTCTTCAAAAGATCCACCTCCTGTTTCTTCACTCCATCTTTACCTAACAGCATTATCTTTCTTGGCTTGTTGATGCAATTCATCCGTGTGAAAGCCAACGGCAGGTACTGCGCAATAATTTTAGACACAAAAAAATAAAAGAGAGAACAATAAACAACCTTGAGACAACGTTCTATATGAACTTACCAGTACAGAGGTTTTATGAGCGTTCTGTGTAAGAGTTAATTTCACAAAACGGTGTTTACTATATGGAGATGAACATATGCATCTCAAGCTACTCTTCTCTCTCTCCATCACACAGCACTCTTGTGAGCTGTCCTTGTCTTCAATACTCACGTTATCACTTTCTTGGGATTGTTCATCTTCGCTGCTAGTATCTGAGGAGAGGGAGTTTACATCTTCTGAACACTCTAATGGTGTTGTCCCACCGTTGGAACTGCATAACAAGAGAACAGGCTTGTCCCCTGCTTCAACCAGCTTCAACATAAAGGAATCACCAGCTTTGATCCCGTTTACTTGGCAGAAAGTTTTCCAGCCTGGTCCGAGATAAGTACGGTTGGGTGATTCATAGTGTTTCCAACCTAAAATCCAGCTTCCTCCCCGCTCATTCTTTAAAGTTATCTCACTGAGTCCTTTCTCCAGACCATTTGCAGTCACAAACTGCTTCTGAAGATACTGCAAAACCATACATCATATACATGAGTCAAAACACACCATGCATATCATATCATGACGGCCAAGACCTCGTCTGTTTACTTTTGCCTAGTGTTTGCGGGAATATGACATGGTCTTGCCGTGATTTATGAATGGAAATTTCAGAAGAAGAAAAAAACATGCATATCAATATATACAAAAGAATTAAGTTCCAAAAGGTGTTTAATGAAACTATAGTATGAGTATGTATTCACCAGTTTATCAGCTCTTAGGCTATCAGAAGAGACAGATCCCACATAATAAGAATGATGTAATGAAGATTCTTTAGCTAGTTTTAACTCATGTTCTGTACGGGACAAAACGGATGACTGGTGGTGCAGATTTTCGGACCAGTTCGAATGTATACTGATGACCTTTTTTCATCCCATTCTCAGCACAGAAGCTTCTCCAACCAGGTCGGACAAAAACCTGCATGCCTACTTTGTTGTATGTCATATTCAAGTTCCATGATCTTCCTTCCTCGTTAAGAAGAGTTATGATCTCTTTACCTCTCGTGTTGTCCGGACCGTTTGACCTAGCAAAACCCAGTGGTATATACTGCAAATGCAATCACATAATGAGATTAAAGCAGCTCAGAGGTTAAGTAAGAGATATGTTTCTTGAATTGTAGGAATCTTAATCTAACCAGTCGATCAGAACTTAGACTTGAGGGTGAGACATGTGCCACAAAGTGAGAATGATCTGATGAAAATTCTTCATTCGTTGTTGGAGTCTTCTTGACTCTCTTTCTCTTCTCTCCTGAACTATTTCCTGTAACTTAAAAAAATTCTCAAGTTTATATCCTTTTCTACAGAAATTTTAGTGTATATATATATATATATATATATATATATATATATTATTTTCTTGAATACGAGGATGCCCCAGACACAAAACCACAACATGTAATATTTGTTTTGTCTCAGTGGTCCTCTAACATAATGGCTCGGAGTCACAGTTAAGCTAGTGAACGTATTTTTTTTAGTACATTTCAAAGAACAAAAGTGTACCAGTATTGTTGGTCTGATCATCACTATCATCATTGATGTTGTGAGATGATGATACTGAAGTATATTGAATGTCACAGTAACTTGGTCCGAAAGCTGTGACATGAAACACCATCTCTCCTTCATGTCTGAAAATGATGATGTCACCAATCCGGAGCTCATGCGCAACTGCAAAATCTTCCCACCCATCAGTGAGTTTCAAGCCGTCTATCTTCATTAACCATGTTTTAGCAGACGCATCTGTTCTCATTTTCGCAGTCTTGATGTGGTCGTTTCTTCCTTGGACGTGCTTCTTTAAGAAAGCTACAGGAATGTTCTGCGCCAAACATGCAACAAAAGTTAAAGCAAAGGAAACACGTTTCTTGAAGCGCAAGAAAAGAGCTAAGATTACGAGGTGAGTGCGGAAGCCGGGAAGGAGAGGCTGGAAGAAATGTGGTGTGATCGGAGAGTGAAGAGATTGATCAGCCATTGTTGAACACTTCATGACAAGAACTCTCAATAAGTCACTAATGTTTTTTATATCGTGAGCAGAGAGAATAAAAGGAGGGAATCTTATGGTAGACTCAGAGTTTCATAAGGATGAGAACTTTTATGACATTTGTCTTACTGGTCTTGAATATCTCGAGGTGAATAATTTCGAGTTAGTTACCTTTTCCGAAACTTTATCGACTTCTCCAAAGAAAACCATGTCTATCCAATAGAATGATCTTCCTCTGCTTTTTAGAGCCGTTGATCTTCGTGAAGAATCTATAGCCAAAGACATATCAAAGTGACAACACACATATGTCTTATTTAAGTGATTGCAAATTTCGAGCTTTGAAAAAACTAGTAAAAAAAAGTTGTTATTGTCTTTTTTTTTTTGCTTAATGGGTTGTGCCTTGGAGATGAAGCTACCAATCTTATTCATAGCTGGCGTATTTTCCCACTTTATTTATTAGTAATTTAAATCCTCGACTAAAGATTGATCGTAAAACAAACCCTCAATTAAAAATCCTGTTGAATAAATCCCCATCTTTATGTCTGTTAATGTTTTCGCCTATGCGTAACTTTTATCGTCAACTTTCGACGGAGAAACGTTAACTGTTGACGAAAAGATTACAGAGGGGCGAAAACATTAATGAACATAAAAATGAGGATTTATTTCACAGGATTTTTAGTTGAGAGTTTGTTTTACGATATATCTTTAGTTGAGAGTTTAAATTACAAAAAAAAATTCTTAGTTTAAACTTGCAATGAAAAATAAAATAAAACAATGAATAACTCATAGTTAAACCAATCATAAAGTAAATTAGTTTCATTGATTTTCTGAACAAGTCAAACCTTATCTTGCTAAGCTGGAGTGGAACGTCGAATACCTAATTCTCTTAAGTTGTCTGAGCTTCCCAAATCAATGGCGAACCTACTAATATTAACATAAAGAAATACAAAAATAAGACCACAGTTAATGTGTAGAATGATGGCTCAGTGAACGCCTATACCATATCTATAACTTAAATTAGGACAAGTTATCTTTTAGTTACCTGTGGTCTTAGATTGTTTTTTTGTACGAATTGACTGATGCAAAACCTAAACCAAACACTAATCTCAAAAACAATTTTTTTTTGTGAAAGAACAACATGGAAACAAGAATAGCTACAATGAATTTATATTAACAGTAAAATCGGTTATAAAATTACTAAATAATCAATACTTACAGAATTTTCTCAAAAAAATGATTTTTAGTAATTTAAATCTTCAACTAAAGATATATCATAAAACAAACTATTAACTAAAAATCTTGTGAAATAAACCTTCATCTTTATGTTTGTTAATGTTTTCGCCCTTCCGTAACTTTTTTGTTAACGGTTAACGTTTTTCCGTCAAAAATGACGACAAAAGTTACAGAGGGGCGAAAATATTTACAAACATAAAGATGAAGGTTTATTTCACAAGATTTTTAGTTGAGAGTTTGTTTTACGATTAATCTTTAGTCGAGGATTTAAATTATTAAAAATCCTAAATATTATTAGAATACTCATGTTCATCCCCATTCGTTCATTAGTCGAACTATCTCAATAAATCCTTTCAAGACCATTTGATATCACAAACCTCTTTAAAACATGCTGCAAACATATTTAACGCAAGTTAAATTTCAGTCACATGTTCATTATTTGAGTTTTGATAATTAGTATGCCTTTATTATATCAAAATAGCTCTTGTACATTAGTGTTTTGTTATCTTTAAATATTACAGCCGTTCAGTCCTTACTTATTTTGATAGCCGCTGCTATTTAAAAGTTAAAACTTAAAACCGTAACTTAATCGTAGTTCTGAACGGGTTGCTTACTTTTCCTATGTATATAGATCTTACAGTTAGCTTTCTAGTTCCATGTATACGTTTATTCGTAAATAGTAATTGCAACTTATTATATCCCACCTAACGTCTATGGAATGTGTAAGTAATTTTAATTACGATTTGCCCATGCAGAGGTGTGGTCCTTTGTTCACATGCAGAGTTATTTATTCTTTATCCTTAATCGGCAACTCTGTTGGTTTCACTGTCAGTTTCTTTAACCTACAACTTCTTTCCTCTACAAGTCATACTATATGCTATTTTCCTTGCAAGAGAGAGAGAGATACAATTACAAAAAGAAGACGATTAGGAATTCTCTATTTTTTTTTTTTGTCACAGAGGAATTCTCTATTTAATAGTACTATTGATTTATCTCTTCAATGGTAGACAATTCTTCACTTGTTGTTTCTTGTCAAGAACCTATGGCCAAAGTAATAGCAGCTTGTTTCCTTATCGGACTGGTTCTCACAGCTCTATTCCTCGTGATCTTCTTCAGCCCTCCGCAGTTTCCTTGCGTCACTCTCGTCTCCCTCAACGTGAGCAGGCTTAACTTCACCACAGCTCGTATCTCCGGCTACGTCGATATGCAGTTTCAAGTTATAAACGGTAACATGTTGACTGATTTCTCATACGACGACGTTTACTGCTCAATGTACCGCGGAAAACGGCTTCTGGCGTCGACCATGTTCCCTGCCTTCTCTCAAAGAGCGTGGGAGACGAAGCCAATCAACTTCACTGTCTATCTCACTCCTCTAACTAGAGCCAGAGAAGTCGGTAAGGACCCATATGCTTTGGAAGAGTTCGATGTGAAGCTGGTTACTTTCATTAAATGGCGATTTGGGTCGTCCAAGTCCGTTATGTTTTCATGCGATGAGGTGCCAGTGGGTCTCGTGCTTACCACTCCTGGTCACGGCAAGATGATTGGGCCAGCGAGGAACTGCGAGGTGTGTTAGTTTCATAACCTTTGGCTACTAGCTAGAGGGGCCTAAAACATGTAAAGACTTAATTTGGAAGATCTAATGAATGTTTTACTCCACTCCTAAATTACAATCATATATACACACTCTCGAATAATTTTATATGTTTTTCATTATGTTAATGTGAAAGTTTGCATGAGATTTGTCAAGATGATGGCAAGAATGAGTTGCTACAATCACCGAACCAACTATCCATTTGTTCATTGTCTGGTTATAACTTGTGGATTACTTTTTACTGTACGTACCTTGGTGTGAGAGTGAAGGAGGGTTTGGCTTTGCTGACTCAATTTTCATCATTATTCTTCTACTCTACCTGATTATATATGTCGCTTGGTTGGTTAAGCCTTTCCAATGACACTGATAAGGAATATAGAAATTGCAATGGTCTTGACTTGAATCTCAGGGGTGTGTCTTCTGTGGTGAAAGGGATGAGCGCAGAGACCATTTACACTTTCCATGGATACAGCAGGTGTGTTATCCGGTCATTCAATCACACCGGACTGGGAAGACACAGTTATGAGTCTTCTGGTTCTCTCTCAAAACAGACATGATGGCATGGGGGCAGTTGTATTTCGGTGGAGGCTCTCACTCGTGCCATTGACAGGGTCATTCGGAATCGCATAATTACTTCTCTCAAATTACTAAACAAAACGAAAAGACTTACAAACTTCAGTGATCACCTAAACAAACTTGACTTGAATCTCTATCTTAGTTAACAAACTTTTACATATAACAAAATCAAAAACAAAACACATTAACAACAAAAAAACTGTAACAACTCTAAAATGTCTACAAAGTCCACGAGAAAACCATTTTCTAAACTGGATTCATGACAACGTCTCCTTCTAACATCTGCAACACCTTCATTTACGAGACACGGATTCCAAAGACAAAGAAGATTAACATTTTATAAAAAAAAAAAATCATTAAGGTCTTCTTTTTGAGATGAGATATATGGCGGTAAACCTGAGACATTCGTGGTCTTGAGTTAGGGTCACGTCGAATGCAGAGGTAATTAAGCACATAACGCCATACAGTACACTTCTTGCTCAGAGTAACAATTCATTAGACGCGGATCAAGAAGCTCTTTTATGCCTTGTTTCTGCAACAACGGTCTTGCCTGAGAACAAAACTGAACGTTTCCTCTTTGTAAGCATCATAACCTTAAAGACTGAAACTTTGATGTTCATTTGGTTTTTTTACCCATTCGGTGAGACATTGTTGACCTTTAATATCAATAGCTTTTCTCCCTGTGATAAGCTCAAGTAAAACAACTCCAAAAGAGTACACATCTGCTTTCTCTGTAATCTATCCGCTTTGTGCATATTCAGGTGCTAAGTACCTGAAGAAAAAAAACAGAATACTTGAAGCTTCAGTGACGTGTTCAACAAGTAGATCAAGAAGAATAATATCTCACTGTACCCGAAATTGTTGCGGCTGTTTTTTTTTAAAAAAAATAAACCACGAATCGGCCGGTTCAGTTGTACAAATGCATATACGAGATCTATCTCTTATGAATATTATCCTAACTGCACCTGGTTTTGTTGTAACACTGCTCATCGATTCTATGTATATCTTTTTGACTAGTTACCAAATTTGATTTAATAAGAAAGATCAGCCATAAGTTGATCAAAGATGTTCCTTTCTTTTATCTCTAAATAATTTCACAAAAAGATATGATTTTGTACGAAAAATTATTAGCCACAAACATATAAAACTAAATTCAGAATTTATCATTAATATAATTCAAACAGAAGCTGAGCCAAGGTTAGACTTTCAATCATATGGAAAAATGATGGATGTCAAACCAAACCAAACCGTTTATTACAACGTTAAGAAAGATGTCAAGCAAAAAACAACCGAACCAATCTCTACTCTTACACATAATCGTCAATGTTGTTACATAAAGAAAACAATCAGAAGTTACTAATAAACTTGTTATGTCCAAACAGCAGAGCAACTATGGTAAACTAGCAGCAGAAATAATCAGAAAAGTGGAGATTGTCTTCACACAAAGCTCTGTCCAGATACATAAAACCTTCCTCTTCAACACCATCAAAATCATAGATAGGATATAGATTCGTGGAGACATCATTAGCAGCTTCATCCAAAGCTTCCACTTCTACACATTCAGACACAATGATTGGAGGATTTGGATTCGTAGAGACGACGTCATGATCAGCAGCAGCTTCAAAGTTGTTCAAAAGACTCCCATGAGTGCTATCCAAAACACCATCATCACTGAATGCTGGACATTCAAAACTCGTCCAATCTATCAGTTCATCAATATCCATCTCTTGATTATTGCACACATCCAAGCTTCCACTTAAAGCGCTTATGTTGTTTATGTCCTCATTAGCACAAAAACTATCACAAATAGACAGTATCTGATCTTGCTCTTCAGTGATGATCTTGTCAAAACCCTCAGGTAATAGATCATCATCAGGTACGCAACAAGTTTCTTGGAGATTTAGGGTTTCATCCAAGTCTTGAGTTCCTTGGTGTGAAAAGACATCGCTTTCCTTGTTGTCTCCAGAAGATGGAGGATGAGAATCTCTTTCGCTATTATTACCAACAAAGTCTCGCAGTTTAATCAACACCCTCTCCATGGCTTTCATCGCGTCCATCAATTCTTGAGGATCCTTGGATTTAGAAAGACTTTCCTTTTGCCACCACAGCTCTAACCCTAATTCCTTACGAGCCATCAATATACCAATGTCCTCCTCCCTCGGCTCTTCCCGAACAGGAGCGAGACGCTGTCCCGTGAGATAAGCAGACACGACGGCATCAACGGAAGAGTGACCAAAAGAGAAGAAGGAGACGTTGGATTGCGAAGAAGGAGGAGTGGCCAAGATGGCTATTTGTGCGTCGGCGAGTAGACAAAGCTGAGCGGCTTTGCTGTGAAGTCCGTTACAACGTTTGGTGAAAGCTGTGGCGAGGTATTCTCTCTTAGAGATCTTTTCCAACTTACTGATCTTTCTCTTCGTACCTCCGCGCTTCACCATTCTCGTTTTCGTTTCACGTACACAGTGTGAGAGAGAGAGAGAGAGCGAGAGAGAGAGACTTTCTTTTATTTTGTTGGGGGTGAGTAATTGTTTTGCGTGTGATGTGAAGATCTCGATGGCCTCTCCCTCCGTATCTTATATAGATTGTGTGGAGTATTGATTGACCAAAAAGGAAATAGCCGTATCCCAAATCATGACGTTGTAACCCTAGTTAAACCGGTTTCGGTTTAGCTTAACGAAATTGTATGATAACACGACTCGGTTTTCCGAGATACTAGAGTCGAATTACTTTCTCACCGACAGTGTCTGAACCAATTTCAGTTTCTTTGGTTTACATAATTACCAAACCGATTAAACAATAGCTAAGTCGATCTTTTTTGTTGTCCAAAAAATTACAACGATATTTTGCTCAAATTATTTAACCGAAATTTAATTGGTGTCAAAACTTAATATATAAACTAGATCTCAATTCGCGCAACCGCGCGGATATTTATTTTCATTTATTTTTATATAAACATTTTTTTTACTTCTAAATTGGTATATATTATATAAGGTGTGTATATCGAAAATGATTATTAATTATTATATAGTATAGATTAATTATTGTTAGAAAATGATGATTTTTTTATTTTTAAAAGTAAACTATATAATTTTTAAAGTTAACATCAAAAATATATAAATAATTAACTTATACTGTTACAATATTAAATTATATAAGTTTAATTTAAATATGTATTTTATTATAATATCTATAATTCCAATGGATCATCTAATTTTTATTGGCCCAATAAAAAATTATAGTAAACCCAATAAATGTTATTAGTGAATCTAATGAATGTTATTAATGATTGAATAATGTAATGTCATACATTCTAATAGATGGTCCATTTTAAAATATCACACATAAAGTGAAATCATGACTTCTCTTTTAATATATAAGATTATGGGTGGACACTTCGGTTATTTTCTCAGTTCAGATTGAGTTCAGTTATATTGGTTAATTTAATTTTATAATTTTTTCAACTGAAATAAATCATGATTAGTTTGGTTTGAATTGGTCTAGATTCGATTTTCTATTTAATTCAGTTTGTATTTCAGTCTGGTTTAATTGGGAAACCCTAATTTAGTTCGTTTAAGAGAAATCTATACTATTAAAGCAGATGACTGTTTTGGTTTCTGCCCCTGAACTTTCTAGAAAATTACAAGATTTGTCTTTTTCTTTTTTTAAAATATTGCAAAACTGGACTTTTTCTTTTTATTAAATGGGCTTCACGAAATATTAAATGGGGTTCACGAAATAGGCTTCAATATTTCGGATCTGCAAATGGGCTTTAACATTTTCAAATGTTATAATTCTATACCCTAAACTCTATTCAGATAATCATATACCTTAAACTCTATTCAAACCCTATGCAAACCATATCTACAATCCAGTTCCCTAACCTTATTTTATGTACAGTAACTGAAATGTGATTTATAAATACTAACTCTATTCAAATTAATCTAATACTAATGTATACAATCTTAGTTCTTAAATAATTTATATATGTTATGCAAATTCATACGATAATGAAAATTCAGAGAACTGAAACCCATGTTAAACAACTGATAATTTCCAGTAAGATTATGAACAACAATAATATTATGAATAACAATAATATTGGGATACTCATATATATTCGGGTAAGATTCAAAATTTATTGACTAAAGATAATATCTATGGATTTTCCAAATACTAATCCTAATCAATATTCAATATTAAATAGGCGATTTAAGCAGATAATATATTCTGTTCACCTATATTTATGGATTTCTCAAATACTAATCCTAATCAATATTCATTACTATAGAGAATATCTCCCAACTTTCTCACCAAGTCTATACTATTAAAGCATATGACTGCTTATGAATATGCCCCCGATTTTTAAGGAAATTACAAAACATTTCACTTCCTTTTATTTTTAATGAAAATCATCCATTAAAAGTCCAACTGAAAATCGCCAATTAAAAGCCCAATAATTTTAACATTTATTTACAACAAAATGGGCTTCAAATCTATACAAAAAATTATATATTTGTAAGTTTACAAATTTATCAACAGAAGTAGGTCTGAGTATTTGACACAGACCCGAACAAGAACCGACACGAAAATACAGATCCATGTCCGGGTTCGGGTCATTGCTAAAGTATTTGTTGGGTATTTTTTGTTTGGATCCGCAGGTCTCGGTTCGTCCGGGTCCTACTAGAAATCCGATCGGGTATTCTAAATATCCACAAATTATGGTATATATTAGGTATATTTAGGTGATTGAGTATATTTTTTGATAATTCAGCTATGTTTTAAAGTTTCAGATTTGGATTTTCGAATATAATATTAGGTTTTAGGTAAACTTTTAGATTTCAAAAAAATATAATTCGGGTATCGGGGTAAAATTCCGGATATATTTTTGATTTTTTGGGTCTGATTTTGGATAAGATTTCGGATTTTTTTTTGCGGTTCTTCGGGCCTTTTTAGAGTTTTCGGGTTTTGCGATCCAGTTTGGGTCCTTCGGATCCTTTTCGGGTCCTAAATACCTAAACCGACCCGATAATATACTCGAACCAACAAACCTGACAAGACCCGATCCGAAATCGATCCGAAAATTATAGATACTTATATGGGTCCAAATTTCTAAGACCGAAAGACATGGACCCGACAAAACCCGATCCAGACCTGACTCGAGGATCTGGATACTCAGAATTAAACAGTATATTACCCGCGCTTTGAAAGCGTGGGTCAAAATCTAGTTATATTTTAAAACTTAAACGCATGACCATAAAATCATCACGTGGTGATAATAAATAATAAATTATATAAATTAAGTCCAAAAATAAAATTGAATAAAGACTTTGAAAAGCCACAAAAAAATTAATAAGAAACACAATTAAATCAAAGTTCACTAAAATAAATAAAAATGGGTAGAAAACAACATAACTAATGTCTCTTATACTAAGAAAAAGGTGTACAATTAGTCATCTTCCACGTGATACTATAAAAAACATGCAACAAATCAAAAATAGTATATGTTATACATTATTTATTTATATCTTTACCAGAATTCTATATTAAAATTTATATACCCATAATTCCATTATTATAAACCTAATCTATTAGTTTTACTAACTAAACTAGGTGTTTTGCCCGCACTTGCGGACATAATTCTCTTATAAATATTTATAGTTTAAGTTTCATTAATTTAAAAATCAGCATAATAAGTTATTATTTATGTTTTCAAAAAGTAAAAATCAAACATCAAATAATTATTAATGACAAAACTTAAACTTCAGAAATATTTAAAAGAATATAATTCTATAATTATTTTTCTTGATTTATATTTAATTAAAATTTTTATACAAAATTTTTACTTAATTTATATTTAATTTGTAATTTTTATATCTTAATTTTAATTTTATAATAGAAAATATATTTTAAAGATAACAATATAATGCATAAGTTATTTATTTTCTAAAAATATAATATGATAATTTTTTTTAAATTATATAAGATTATAAAAATTATGACATATAATTAAAATTACCTAGCTAAAATTATGGAGATTTTACATGTAATCAAATTCACTTCTTAAATAATAGTATAGATTTTTTACATGTTAATTTTAAATTTTATAATAGAAAAATATATTTTCAAGATAATAATACATAAGAATTAAATTATTTTCTAAAATATAAATTTAATTATTAATAATATAATTTTTCTATCTTAATTTTAAGTTTATAATAGAAAAATATATTTTCAACATAACAACATAATACATAATACATAAGAATTATCTTTTTAAGTTTTATATATAAAAATATATTTCTAGATAATAAGATAATTCTTAAATATATTTCTGAAATTAAAACATTATTAATGAAAATTTGTTTTAGTTATATAATAAATTATATAAAATTATTTAAAATATTACAACGCTCACATATCAAAAATATTTTTAAAACGATAATCAAATAAATGTTTTTGTTTAATTTTTGTTTAGTATAGATAATTTTTATATTTTAAAATATATAATAGAAAATAAAGTTTCAAGATAACAACATAAAATATAAGAATTATCGTATTTTCTTAAATTAAAATATTATTAATCGAAATTTTTTTCGTTATATAATAAATTATATATAAAATTATTAAAAACATGACAATAAACAAATTTACCTAAAATCACAAGGAAAATATATTAAAATTATCTTGTTTTATTTCATAAAATATAATACTATTAATAGAAATTTAGTTTTAAATATAATAACTTATATATATAATAAATATAATAAAAGTATGACAAATCAGTAAAAATTATCTAAAATCATGTAAAAGTAGATAAATGAGTAAATTATAATATTATTCATATAAATTTGTTTTATATATAATAAATTATATATGAAATTATTAAACATATGACACATAAGCAATATTAGCTAAAATTATGGAGCATGTGATAAATCAGCAAAATCACTTCATAAAATATATATGAAATTATTAAAAATATGACACATAAACAATATTAGCTAAAATCATGGAACATATGACAAATCAGTAAATTTACTTCTTATATAATAGTATAGATTTGAAAACATAATATGACTTTATTTTAAGATTTTAGTATGTATATTGCTAATATGCTTAATCCAAATAATAACAAAAAAAAAATAATTAATTTCTTGGTTTGGTTTAGTTTCAATTCGGTTCGGTTTCGGTTTGATTCGTTCGGGTTAGGAAAATCTTAAACCAAACTATTTGATTATGACTTCAGTCTGGTTTGGATCGGTTTCAATTCGGTTGGTTCAGTTTGATTCGGTTTTTTGCCCACCCCTAATAGAAATTGCAATGGTCTTGTTCGTCTTATTGGTGTACATCCATGTTTATCTACTCAGACATTATTCTACAAACCAAAATTGGGCTCTTATTATACAGCTCGCTCTTGACCTAGACATCCCCATTTGGCATTTGGTAACACATTTTGCGATTGAGCCACCCATTTAGCTTGAAGAGCATCCGTCACCTTAACTTAACTGGTAGTATACTAACCAACCTGTATCAGATAATAATCACAGATGGAAAGGAAACAACAACTTACAGCAGCTGAAGTAGTACGGATTTGAATGTTACATTTCTCGGACAACTTAGACATGCTATTCAGCTCCTACACAAGAGAGTTGCTGCAAATACACACAACATAATCATCAGAACAATATCTTTCAGTGTATCTTTCTTTCATGACCCACTAGGTTAGTACTGAAACGCACGTTGCCTGATTGATGATGGGTTCTCGTCTGGAAGATTGAGTATTTGCTGTATCTGCTGATGAGCCTGCAAAAATGGTTTAACATTATTCACACAACCACTAGCAAAGCAAATTTACTAGACGATGATGCAGACTGATTTTCTAGTTCCGATTCAACCTCGTAAGACATGGATACTCCCAAGCAAAATATAGTTTTTAGAAACTTACCAGCTTGATGGGCCCTTTGATCTGTGCAATTACACTATTTACTTCTTCCAATTGTCTGTCAAAACAAAACCACCATTTATAGTATCAACATTTGGACCCTATGATGTATTCAACTCAGTCTTCATTACACAATGATCAAACCATGCCAAAAAGCAATGCGATAAAGCCATATGTATATAACAGCCTAAGGCTTGAAGAGGTGACAAACAATTTTCAAAACTTTGAGAATAGCAGCATGCGGATCCCAAAACAAACAAAAAAGGAGTTATCCTACTTTTGAACTCTTTGCTCCCTTTGTGGAATATAGTCAAGAGCTTCTTGCCTGGTGAACTCCACGTGAAGGATAAAATACTTATAAACCAAATTAGAGCTCAATAGAACAGCAAAGTATTGTGAACGACTAAACCAAGAACTCCATTACAAGAAACACAAAACCAATTGAAAAGAACTGGATCGGTCGTCTTTAGTGGGGCTGATACGTTCCAAAGAGTGTATTTCAGGAAGAAGGGAAAGAATAAGAGTGAAGAAATGAGGAGCAATGAAACAGAGGAATTACGTGTGTTAGGAGGTAAAGAAGTGTCGAAGACTCTGGAGGAGTGAGAAGGTTTGAAGAAACAGAAGTGGAGCAAAGCCGCGAGTTTAGAGAGAGGGTTTGGCGTTACAGATCCGTTTGAGAATTTGAATAAAGACTTGTTGTTTTCATTTTCTTTTCTTTTATGCTGAGTATTGTGTGAAGAGTCGCTATGAGACCTTCTCTATGATCGCCATGAGATCATAGCTTCTCAGTATTGATTCTGTACTTCTGTAATCGACTTTGGAGTTTGAGTTTATTGAAGTTTTCTTTCATTGATCATTCGTTGAGTGTTTACAAGAGTTAACAGATCTAACAGAGAAGACGAATAGTACGAACTTATCAGGGGCTAAGACAAGGGAGAAACTAACAGAACATCAACGATCAAGCTTAATAAGAAGTACATTTCGAGAAGCAAAAGACTTTCCTATAATCCTATGGAAAAAAGGATACAGTTCCTTTTGTTATTCAAAGATCTTATTATCCCTGCAAAACCAGCAAATGCAGCAGAGGCCACAATGAATAACATACAAAGAAAACAAGCTAACCTAACTCCAAGAAGAACATTTACATACTGTTTTTAACATCATACATACAATTCAGAAATCTGATTTCTGAAATAAAGGAGGTAACATTGAATACGGTGAAGCAATTGTCTGTCCGCACAAGCTTCTGTTTTATACCTTTTGACGTCCTCCCTCCATTACTGCAACTATGACCAATACATATCAAAAGCTCTAGCCCAAGTAAAACTAACAAAACAAAAAAAGAACAAAGCGAGTGAAAATTCTTGGCGCCTCTGCTGAGTAATTAGTACTAAATGCATGAGAACTTTGGCGCATTACATCGAACAAGTGGTGAACTCTCCAAGCGAGAAACACATTTACACAATTTAGACTCCAAACATTAGAAGCAAACTCACCTCTAAACAAAAAGATTCAACTTTGGACTTAATCAAGTGAGCGAGAGAGTGCCTAATTGGTTTTACACTTTGATCGAGAGAGCGATTACTTAAACCAAGTGAACCGGTTTTGCGATCTCCTAAACCGAATATTGATTTTCTAACTTCAAGCTAGTTACTTTCAATACTTACTACTATTTAACGCCCAAGGTTTTCTGAATATAAAACAATAGAAAACTATGAACGAACATGGGCAGCTATGATCTTCAAATCATGTAAAAACATAGTAATCTTATATATATATAACACGAAAACCATACAAAATTCAAGAAAGTTCCTTTTTTCCAAGTGAAACAAAAAAAATGTTCAGGTAAAACTCCATCTTCAACTAATACACTTCCATTTCCATTCGCCTGAGTCCAACAAATCTTGCCAAACAAAAGTTCACAGCATACTATTACCGATGTATTCCTTTTGTAACACATCACTGATATACATCTCCAACTAATACGCTTCCATGATCCAAAACCATTTGCTAACCATCCACAACCGCAACAGTATCCATTATTGGCTGACTTTCCCCTACAGAAGCACCTTCCATACTATAATAAACTCTGCAGCTAAAATAAAACACTGCACTCATCATCGAATCAATAAGCGTCACAAAGGAATACATCACCACCAACAAAGGCCCTTCCCACAGCCTCGAAGACCCATCTCCATAACTAACCTTCTTCACTCTATGATCAAACAACCCTTCCACAAACGCCAACCCCAAAGTCGACCCCAGGAATATCAACAACCCCACCTGAACCTGCCCTCTGATCAAATCACTACCCCTCACCAACGCTCCCGCCCCTGAAACATCTTCAATAACCGAGACCACAACGGCAGTGTTACACACTATAATCCCGTTGGCGAATACGATGGAGAATGCTAAACCAACTAAGATGGCTCCGTAAACATTGAACTCTGGAGAGAAGCCGAGAACATAGAAAGAGCTGCAGATCGCTACGAGGAGAACACAGAAGAAAGTAAAACAACCAACGATCAGAACACAAACCCAGAGGTAAGTGTACACGACTCGTTTCCATATCTTCTTCAACGCCACCAAGAAGTTTTTCATCTCCACCTTCTCCCTCGAGTAAGTAGCGTCAACAGAGTAAACAACAGCTGTTTTCGACAAGAGCGAGACGGTGATGAAGAGAGGGAAACACATCGCGGACGAAACAGCGGTTTCTGCGAATTTCTGACAAGAGTGTTTCACAAAGGGTTGTAAAGGGAGACCGCTTGATTTCGCTACTAAGAGAAGCTTCACGGTGAGTTTGTTCACTAGGGAATGATCGATTAGGAGGTTTGGTAAGAGAAGTGCGGAGACGGGACAGATTAAAACGGCAGCTGTTAACATGAAAGCGCCGAGATTGTACCGGAGGATTCGGACGGATTCTCTTAAGATCTCTAACGCGTTTGTAGAGTGGAAGTGCTTGTAAGTGTATGTTTTAAGCTCCGTTTTCCGTAAAACGAGATTCGATTCCGTCTCCATGATTTGGTTTCAGAAGAAGCGAGATGAAAGAGAAACAAAGTGAAGATCTTTTAGATTAGGAAGATTGCCTACATAATCAAGAAAGAAACAAAACTGGAGTGAATAATCTCAGTTGATTATAGAGCATGAAAGCGAATCAATTTTAAGCTGTAAAAGTGATTGAATACGAAAGGCTACTCACAAAAAAGCGTTGAAATTGGGTGTGTCGGAATCCTTCCTTGTGAACGTAATCCTGGGACGGGATCTCGGCGATGTTGTCTACGTTCAATAAACGTAAGCTCAGCTCACATGTTTTTTTTTAGAAAATGATTTTTTTTTTCAATTTGTCGGTGGCACACAGGTGAAGGCAGAAGAACGGTCCCCTCTCGCATTTGAAGCTAAACCGGAATCTTGGAATTAATGAACCGAACTTCGGTTTTTGACCCAATAATAATACCCCGTTATTATTGGGCTTCTTTGAATAAAACAACTAATAAGTTTGCTCTCAGAGAATCTTTCAGTGTAGGTGAAAGAACAAAGGCAAGAGGGGGGACGAGTAGGAGGATGAAGCTATAGAGAGAGTGTGACACACTCGTTGACCACTGTAGAACGAGAGCCTATAGAGAGAGACACGATGGAGCTGAATCTATCCGAGAGTTCGACCAGATCAATTCGTTGCATCGTGAAACTTGGTTTGTCCTTTTTGATCATTCCCACTTCTTGTCTCTTCACTTCCTTTCTCGATTTAGATCGCATTTTTTATTTGTTTTTTGTCTTATCGGAAAATCCAGATAGCTTTGATTCTGATTTGATTCTTGTCTTATCGATATACTTGTGTAAACCTGTGTAACATGTGTCAAATGATCTGATATAGGAGGTGCGGCGATTACGAAGAAGAACGAGCTGGAGGAGATTCACGATAAAAATCTGGAGACTATGGCGTGTCAGTTACGTCAGGCCATGATGAAGGGTTCAGCTTCAAGTAAAGTTATTGGAATGGATTGGAGCAAGAGACCTGGAAGCTCTGAGATTGCTTGTGATGTTGATGACTTAGGTGATCAGGACTCTTCTGAGTTTAGCAAGTTTGTTGTCGTTCACGGCGCAGGTTTTGATTCGTCTCTGATTTACTCTTATAGCAAAAAGATAAAAGCACATCTTTGATTAGTTCTTTTACGTTGACATGCTTGTTTGTTCTGTTGTGGTTTATTAGGTTCCTTTGGACACTTCCAGGCTAGTAGATCGGGTGTTCACAAAGGAGGACTTGAGAAACCTATTGTTAAAGCTGGTTTTGTTGCTACTCGTATATCTGTGAGACTGTCTCTACATAAAGCTTATAATCTTATTTGAGCTTCTACTCTGTAGTTGTTGTTCTGATATTTCCTTTTTTCAGGTCACAAATCTTAACCTTGAGATTGTACGAGCTCTTGCCCGAGGTACCTCTTATAGTTTATTCTCTTTCTCTCCTCTGAATAAAACTATGTTTTTGCTGAGAGGAAAAAATGAATCTTGATGCTTTCTTGCCAGAGGGTATTCCTACAATCGGCATGTCTCCATTTTCATGTGGTTGGACAACCTCCAAAAGAGACGTAAGTGCCTACTGAAAAATTCTTTTCTTTCATCCCTTTTACATATTTCCTGATCTGAAGCATGTTTGGTTCAGTTCTAATGAGACTACTATTTGCATCAGGTGGCTTCTGCGGATCTATCAACAGTAGCTAAAACAATCGATTCAGGTTTTGTCCCTGTAAGTTCTGGATCCTACCACTCCCATTAGATTTTATGTTTCTCAAAGTCTCTCGATCGACCGTAATTTTTTGTCCTGCCCAGGTTCTCCATGGAGATGCAGTGCTAGACAATATGCTGGTAATACGCTGTCCCAGGATACCAAACATCTATCTAGTTTCTTGTCCACTTAGAACTTGATATGCTGAAAAAGTCTTGTGCTTAACAGGGCTGCACCATATTGAGTGGTGATGTTATCATCCGTCATCTTGCAGATCATTTGAAGCCAGAATATGTTGTCTTCCTCGTATCCTTTTGATAACATAGAAATCAGCTTTACTTTTCTTAATTTATTTCCTTTTTTTTTTTTTCTCTACGCTCATTGTTATCTGAGTAACTCTTTACAAAGACAGATGTACATGGTGTCTACGATAGACCACCTTCAGAGATTGATGCTGTCCCCTTGAAAGAGATCGGTTAGTTTAAACTTTACCGTTTCTTTCTAAATGATAATTCAAGTCATGGCCTAATTCCTTATTGTTAATGCAGCTGTTGCAGAAGATGGAAGCTGGAAGGTTGTGAATCCAGTGTTGGACCACACAAACAATAAAGGTAAATAAAAATGAACCAATACTCTATAGCTATGTGATTAGTCTACGGGTTGTATTAGTTAAAGGCTGTCTGGTTTTTGGGATCAAAACAGTTCAAACCTCTGTTGCGGCTCATGATACAACCGGTGGGATGGAAACAAAGATATCGGAAGCTGCTATGATTGCAAAACTTGGAATCGATGTTTACATTGTGAAGGTTAGATTATAGACACATTTTGCCCTTAATGTCTCTTAGATAAAAGATGAAGCTGACCATTGCTTTGTTTATCTCCTAAACAGGCTGCGACTCCTCATTCACAAAGAGCGCTCAATGGAGAATTGAGAGAGAGCGTACCTGATGATTGGTTGGGGACAATCATCAGATTCTCAAAGTAGAAATAAACTATGGCACGCACACTGATTCCAGTGATTATTCAAAAGAGATAAAATCTTGTATCAGTTACCAAACTTTGTGCATTGATAAGATCGTGTGTTGTGAGTACTTCTCTTTGCATTCTTCGTTTGCAATGACTTAAGTGATAACAAAGTTGCTTAAACTTACCAACCTTTGTGATAAGCATAACAAGATAATGATAATAATAAGGGAATAAGAATCTCAGAGGGAAAATTCTCTGTTTAAAACACGAAACTTTTAAACAATCCAAAACCAATAATAGATAATGGTCGTCTTCCAACAAGTAACACACAGAAATGGTCTAAATTAGAGAAAAAGGAAGAAAAAAACATGTTTTTGTTCTTATAACAAAAGGGGTAATAATAAGATTATCCTCTCGTGTGTAAAGAGAATGACACTTTGATTACTTGCCACCACCAACTTCCTTGACGGCACAGATCTGCTCCTCTCCCATGGAAGACATAACAGACACCACAACATCTTTTCCTTCCTCGAATCCACTCTTCATCTGCATTACAAAAACCACACCACAATTGTTTTCAATATCTATCAAAATCTCAAGGTTGATAAAATGTATGAAAAGACAAGAAATTAACCAGAGCGCTAAGATTGTCATCGGTGGGAAGCTTGAGGTCATCCTTAGTGCCACCACTGTCGGTCAAAAGGCTAACCTATAAATGTGAACCAAATAAATATTAACAACTTGGGAGAGATAAACAAAGATGGGATCATAACAAAAAAAAGTGAGAGAGAAAAAACATACAAATCCATCCTCAGAGATATCAATCAGCTGGTAATCAATACGGTTCACATGTGGAACCTGTCACATATTAAAAAAAAAAAACACAATCTGAATCAGATAACTTACGACATACCAATCGAATCTAGTCGTAAGTTTGGTCTTTTTAATACTTACATCACAATTGTGGGAAGAAGGAACAATATCCTCGAGCTTCTTAGCAGTAAAGATATCAATAGCAACAAAGTGACACTTTGCGTGACCGTGCTTGCCTGTTTTTGAAGTCGAAACCTCAACAACCTATCAATCACAACAACATAGACAAACGAAATTAATATCAAACAAAACAAGGACTCTTAGATCTGTTGTGTCTTATTCATATCTATCAATGTTTCTTTTCATTTTATAAATCACCATAAAGGTAAAAAACAAAGAAGCGAAATCCATAGAGACCTATACGATCTGATTACCGATACCTTAACGATAAATCATATAATCAATACGTAGATCTAGAAAAATAAAATGATCATGTACCTTGCAGGGACGGCCCTTGATGACGATGTGGCCACCTTTACGGATGTTACCAGCCTGCTGAGGGTAGGTCTTGGAAGCTCCGGCGTCGCTGGACTCGAAGTGGTGCTCTTCGTCCGACATGTTTTGTAAGCTTTTTGAGAAGAAAAAAGAGAGATTGAGAGAGAATGCAGAAAACCTAAAGAGAGAGATAAGTCAGCGAGTGGTTTGCTTTTTATACGGCGGAGGAAGGGAAATGCCTTTTCTTCCTAGGGTTTCCTTGTATTTTATTCTTATCCGTTAGATTAGAATATCTCTACGGTAGAGATTTAACCACATTTATCTCCTGCGATGATGCATCGCGTATGAATCACGCGGCCCCACCAGCTTGCGTTGTTCGGTTTTTTCTTTTTTTCTTTCAATATTTGTATTTTTCTTAATTAATGAAATATATTAGCTCTTCTGGAATTGAAAAGCCAGATTTATTATTTTTGGTTATCGTTTAACATCAGTCCCGATTAGTTCGGTTAATCTTTGATTCGGAATAACTCAAACTAGTTACGTCCCGTGCCAAGCACAGATCAATTAATTTCACTGTCAACTTGATTTGTTCAAAAAAAGAAAAAAAAAATTATTTTCAGAATCGTTGACCAAAAAAAAAAGAAATTATTTTCAGAATAAAAGAAGAAGTTTTTAGAATCAAGATCTGTGATATACTCCAATAGATAGAGAAGAAAATAAGAATAGGATTATATAGAAATTTAAAAACTGATTGAATGTTACAAAGGAGATGAACATTGATATGTGGAGTTACTGAAAAAAAATAGAACGTGTGATGACAACAGTTAGGAAAAAAAAGAATGTTATTTTTAAAGTTACAAAATATTTTTTAAAAGAACGTGATACAATTTTGAATTTTATTTTTGTAACTGAACAATTTTTTTATTTTAAAAGCATTGACATGTGTTAGATTTTGATTGCTCAATTGACTTCTAGTATATAAAAGATAACAATATCTTTTCTTTGGACAAGTAAAATAATAAAACTAAACCCCAAAAATAATTTTGGTTTTGGTTCATGATCCTATTATATTATTGGCTGATATGGATAAATATATCAGCAATTCTAATCATTTTGAATTTAAAAATTCAAAATTTTCTATTTTAAATTTAAACTAATTTTATTACTTTTGATATAATGTTTTATGAATTTTCAGTTCAGTAATTTTTATTTAGTACAGCTTGGTTCTTTGGTTCCACTTTAAAATATTCAGTTTCACGTCTATCGGGAATTTAGAGCATTTCTATCATGGTCTCCTAACCTGTGTATTTAGGTTTAAAAAAAATAAAAATTTGCTGATTAAGCAAGATACGTTTTTTAATGTAGACGGGCAAGAGACGGAATTTTAGGGGCACGTGTCATTCACTCAACATCACTCTTTCTCACAACCGCCTCGTCTTCTCTACTTCTCTCGAGGCGATATGGTGATCTCTCCACGAACGATGATATATCCATCTCGTCGATGGCATCAGCGGGAGTTTATATCGATGGAATTGTCGCCTCTCTCTCTCCGTGTTTCCCTCGCTCTCCTCAGCGATTCCGCCTCCCTCTCGCTCTTGTCGATGACTCCGCGTATCCCTCTCTTTCTACGACGCTCAACTAGACCAAAAATCAATCCACCACTCTATCCGACCCGTGGCTATCCTCGACGAAATCAACCGAAAGAAAAAGCTAAGTTTTTTTCCTTTTATGTCTGAAACATTCGTTGTTATATTGATTTGTTTGTTGTGTTGCATGCATCTTTTGTGTTTGTTTATGTCTCATGATTGAAGAGATGATGTCTCTGTCTTTGTTTGTTAATCATTCTTGTGATAGTTTATGCCTCTGTCTTTGTTTATATCAATCACTTTATAATCCTTCATGTGTCTTATGTATTGCTTGTGTTTGTTTGTGTCTCTTGATTCTAGAGATGATGTCTCTGTCGATCAATATATCAATCAGTTAGGTTGTTTGATAATGTCTCTGTCTTTGTTCAAGTCGATCAGTTCTTTTGTTTGTGTATGTCTCCTAATTCAAGAGATGATGTCTCTATATTTGTTTCTTTTATCGTTGTTGTGATTGTTGATGTTAATGTCTTTGTTTATGATTCTTCTTTGGATCGGTTCTTGTGCTTGTTTATGTCACTGTCTTTTATCAACAGGTTATGTCTATGTGTTTGGTTAAATGTCACAACATTTGTTTCTTAATCTTTCTTGTGTCTGAATCGTTCTAGTATTGCTTATGTTTCTTGCGTTTCTTTTTCATATGGACGGTTAAAGAGATCTGAATGTTCTTATGAAGAGACAATGGCTATTTTAAGTTTGATGATTTTCAACCGTGAATTATGTGAAATACTTTGAAACATGACTTATATCATGTGAAATAAATTAAAGTATCTTAAAACTAATAGTAAATGATTGTAGCAATGTATTTATTATATTGATCATCTTCTTTTATTGGAGGTTTTTATTTAGTACAGTCCGCAGTAATCAATATTAGATGATTTTGATGAGGTTGATAAAAATGAAACTGATAGTTAATTGTTGAAGTGTGTTTAATGAGTTAAATAGCAATCAATGTTAGATAAATGAATTAGTTAAATGTCAAGTCCATGTGGTTGTGGGTGTGATGAAAGCGTTAAACACTTTCTCTTTTCTATTAAACAGAGTCATTCTTCTCTCATTCTATATCAAACTCGTTTTCCTTTCTATCAAACACAATCATTTTCCATCTCTCTTCTTAGACATAATACGATATGGATTCCAATCCATATATGAATTTAAATTTTGTTGATCTTCTTCAAAGTCAACAAGATAGAGGCATCGGTTTAGAATTCTCCCATATTCCTTTATTTGGCAAGCAACTAAAGGTTCAAAGGTAGATTCTCTTAAAATGAGAGACTACAGACCAATAGCTTGCTGTAATGTTCTTTACAAGGTGGTTTCCAAGATTGTGGCGAATAGATTAAAGAAGCTGCTTCCTCAGATTATTGCTAATAATCAATCTGCGTTCGTTCATGGTCGGTTGCTGATGGAAAATGTACTTCTTGCTTCAGCGCTCGTTAAGGACTATCATCAAGAGGACATTTCTCCAAGATGTGTCATGAAGATAGACATCTCAAAAGCATTTGATTCGGTGCAATGGATGTTTGTGTTGAGATGTCTTAGCGCTCTGGGATTCCCTAAAAGATTCATCCACTGGATTGAATTGTGCATTACGAGTCCTTCTTTCTCTGTGCAAGTGAATGGGGATCTTGCTGGTTATTTCCAAAGTTCTAGAGGTCTTCGCCAAGGTTGCTCCTTATCTCCCTATCTATTTGTCTTTTGCATGAATGTTTTGTCTAAGAAAATAGATAGAGGAATGGAGGAGAGGAGATTCAAACTGCATCCAGGTTGTCACAAGCTTCTGAGTACCCACCTTTGCTTTGCGGATGATCTGATGGTTTTCGTTGAGGGTTCCAAGCAGTCTATTCAAGGGGCTTTAGCAGTGTTTGACGAATTTGAAGTTTGGTCTGGTTTGAGTATAAGTGTAGAGAAATCTACTTTATATATGGCGGGTGTCTCAGAGTTTGAAAAAAAAGAGTATCTTGAACAACTTCAAATTTGCAGTGGGAGAGCTCCCTGTGAGATATCTGGGATTGCCTCTCATGACTCAAAGAATGAAGAATCAGGATTACTCTCCTCTTTTGGAAAAGATAAGACAAACCATATGTTCTTGGACCTGTCGGTTTCTGTCTTATGCGGGCAGACTTCAGTTGCTTGTTTCGGTGATTACAAGCATTGTGAATTTCTGGGCCATGGTTTTTCGGTTACCGTGTAGTTGTATTAAGGAAGTAGAACAAATGTGTTATGCTTTCCTTTGGACGGGGCCTCTGCTGAAGTCCTCAAATGTTAAAGTCGCTTGGAAAGATATTTGCTGCACAAAGACTGAAGGAGGATTGGGGATTAGGAACTTGAGGGAGGTCAATAAAGTCTTTGGTCTTAAGCTGATTTGGAGAATGTTAACTGGGGAATCTCTTTGGGGGAAATGGATTCATAATAATTTGCTGAAAGGTAAAAGTTTTTGGGAAGTTAATGAGAAGATGCAGATTGGTTCTTGGATGTGGCATAAGATGCTCAAATTGCGGAGTGTTGCTAAGATATTCTACAAAGTCGAAGTTGGAAATGGTAGACATGTATCTTTTTGGTTTGATAATTGGTCTGAAAAAGGAATTCTTATGGACCTTCTGGGCGCTCGTGGGTTTATTGAGTTGGGGATACCAAAGAATGCTACCGTTGAGGAGGCAATGCTATGTGTTAGGAGGAGAAGAAGGCATAGGATTAGCATCTTCAATGAGTTAGAAGCAGAGTTGAATTGGCTGCGAAGAAATTATAATCCTGCAAAGTGTGATAAAAGGTTATGGAGAAGAGACTCGGGTTATAAGATGGAGTTTTCTACTCGGGATACTTGGCAGTTGTTGAGAGAGAAGAGATCTCTTTGCGATTGGGCTGCAGGTATTTGGTTTGGTCAAGCAACTCCAAAATTTGCGTTTATGGCTTGGCTTTCTATTCGTGATAGGTTGTCAACTATGGACAGAGTGGTAAAGTGGAGTTTGTGAGTAATGATACTTGTGTTCTCTGTAAGAGTGCTTCGGAAACAAGGTCCCATTTGTTTTCTGAGTGCAGTATTTCTGCTCAAGTTTGAGAGTTCATTGCGAAGGGGTTGTTGCGCCAGTCCTTTACTCTGGCTTGGGCTGAGTTAATCTTGATCATTGCTGATAGAACCCGGGAGAAGAAAAGCTTGTTCTGTATCATGTATGCATTTCAAGCAGTCTTGTATGCTTTATGGAGAGAAAGGAACAAGTTGAGACATGGGGAGAAGATGATGAGTTTACCACTCTTGAAAAGAGTTATTGAGAAGGGGATTCGAAATAGAATAAC